GATTCCCGAAACGATCAGCCCGGCCCGTGCGCAAAGTACACAAACACAAGAGGCATTGTGGATATTGGCGGATAAACAGGCCCTCCGGGGCCTTAAGAAGCGGGCATCGCGGTTGCCACGGTGAAAATTAAGGAGGAAATTAAGGGAAAGGCGCTATACCCAAAATCCAATTTCTCGCATTTTTTTCGGCCGCCGCCGTATTTTCTCAAAGTTCTTATTATTATTACCTGCGAGGGCCGGGCATAAAGCCCGCATGATGTCCGCATAATAGCCGAGACGGCTGGTTTGGGCAATCTGGAGGGGATACGAAGTATTCAGATTAGGTTATGGTATAATATATGCACCGTGCAGCAAAGTTGTTTATGCTAGTCTTTTCATAAAGTGCGTAGACTTTGTTTCGCAGCGGCACAGCGCATTTTCGTCTTTCGCACTGTGCGATTTGCGAACTTTACACAAAGCGACTTGCATTGTGCGGTGAGGGAATGGAAGCAAAAAGAGAAACGCACAGTGCGTCAAAAAAGGTGAAAACCCGAAAGAACCAACTTGGGGTGAAAAAAATTGGCACAGTGCGGCGATTCTTTTTTTTTCGCGCAGTGAAAGAAAAAAAAGAAATTTTTGACCTGCACTGTGCAACGATTTGAAACCATTTGTCGCTACTTTCGCACAGTGCAAACCCCCAAAGAAGCTGTCTGCACAGTGCAAAAAAAACCGAATGTCGATTTTTGACCTGCACTGTGCAACGATTTGAATCCGTTTGTCGCTAATTTCGCACAGTGCAAACTCCGAAAATGATGTTTGTGCAAATGCGCGTGCAAGAAAAAAAAAAACAATAAGTCTGCGCAAAAACAAAAAACGTTTTTGGCCGTATTTTACCCAGTTTTGCTTGGAAAAAAATCATTTTTTGTGGAAAGATCACATCCTACGGTAGAAATAGGCACAAGACTTTAAATGCCAAAATTCTCAAAAAAAAAAAAAAAAACTGTCATATTTTTTTCAATTTTCGACCTAAAAATCACGGTCGTTTCTGCAGAGCACGAGCTGGAATTTTTGCAAATATCTTAGGAAATTCAACCAAATCTAATATTGTGACTTTCTTCTATAACATATCGCAAAATTAACCACATTTTTTGCAAAACCTTCTTGCCAAAAAGCAACAATTTAGCCGCACCATACCTTCCAAATTTCCTACTTCCCAATAAAAGCCAAAGAACGCAGCCGCTGACATTATTGGAGGCCATAAACAACCCCGACAACAAGTCATTATTACATTTTATTTTATTGTGCCAAATATATGTGCATAGAAGCAGACCAATAAAAAGGCATTGTAAAATACGACAAGGACTTTAACCCGGTGCTAAAAGTGTTTTTGAGTAGCAAAAAATAATTTTAAAAGTATTTTTTAAAACGAAAACTAGATTTTTTGTCTATTTTTTATTTATTTTTTGTCATTTGTGGCCATTGTTGTCTTGAATATTGACAAATTGTTGACGATAATTTACTAATTTTTATATTAAACACAATTTTTATTTTGCAAAATGTTGTTTAAGCCTAAAAATTCGAAAATCGACATAATTTTAGACAAAAATGATTTAAAAACGAAAAATTGCAAAAAAAAACAACAAAAACCACAATAAATTGACTAATTTCAAACCTAATTTTTTTGGATAAAATACGACTCTATTGGAGAAAGAAAAATTTTTATTAATAAAATCTTTATTTTCAAAATTCGGCGATAAAAAGCCCCAATTAAAAAGAAAGACATCCACATGTAACCTTTACTTTTCCGCACCCAGTTCATATCCGCCAGTGGCTGTTTAGAATTTCAAGCACAATGGCACGCGACGGAGATCTCAAATCCTCCAGGGTTCTCATTAAAACGCTCCGAAACAAAATTAATTTTATGCATAATTTGGGGCGACAAAAACATATCCAGAATTAATTACCGACTTGTTTGGCCGACAATTCGAAAACAGTAACCAGAAAACGGTGTCTCGGAACGTCAGTTTTTTCCAAATTTTGGGGTTGACATTTTTGCACAGTGCAATTTTTGGAGGTATAAAATTTTTTGCACTGTGCGGAGAGTTTGGAGTCTTGCACGGTGCAGATTTGGAAGGAAAAATTTTTGCACGGTGCATTTTTTGGATAGAAAATTTTTTCGCACTGTGCGGAAATTTTGGAAACTTGCACTGTGCATAAATATTTAAAAATTTTTTGCCCTGTGCAGTAAAATTATTTTTATGCATTTTGCTACCAAAATCGTATTCTGCTCTGTGCAAAGTGCATGAAAAATCGTACAAAAATCAAATTTTTCACTGAGCAGAGAAAACAATTTTTGCACAGTGCAGTTTGTAGAGGTAACAAAAAATTTGCACTGTGCGGGAAGTTTGGAGTCTTACACAGTGCATCAATATTTGAAAATTTGTGCACTGTGCAGCAATATTATTTTTATGCAATTTGCGAATAAAAATGGTATTTCGCGCTGTGTTAAAATTTTGAAAAGTTGCACCGTGCAAAAAATCAATTTTTTTACCATGCAGAAAAAATTTTTGCACTGTGCGAAAAGTTTGGAGCCTTGCACAGTGCAGCAATATTTGAAACTTTTCGCACTGTGCTAAAATTTTGAAAAATTAAAGTCGAATTTTTCACTGTGCTGAAAAACAGTTTTTGCACAGTGCAGTTTTTAGTGGTAAAAAAATTTTGCACTGTGCGGTAAGTTTGGGGTTTTGAACTGTGCAACAAACTTATTTTTAAGCACTGTGCGACAAAACCGATATTTCTCACTGCGACAAAATTTTCAAAAATTGCACTGTGCAAAACAAAAAAAAAAATTTTTGCACTGTGAAGTGCCAAAACTTGCCAAAAAAAAATTTTTGTACAGTGCCAAAAATTATCAAATCATGCACTGTGCACTTCCCGCTGATTTCTGCATGGTGCCAAAATTTGAATTTTTCAGACAGTGCATAAAATTTTTATATCAATTTATCTTATGTTGTCAAAATTTCATCAAAAAATGTCATCATAAAGCAAAAACAACCCCAAACACTCCCAGTTTTGCAAATTCCACCGCCAATGGCCCGTAGGGCTTGAAGCAGAAAAAACGAAAGCCAGATTTGTCAGAAATCCCGGGTTCCTTCTCATTCCGCGCCTCTTCCACCTTGAGAGCCTCGAGCGGGGGAGAAAGGAAAACACCGGACTCATTTCCTTGAACCGCCAAAACCGGATAAAGCCGGCTTTCGGCCGCTCTTCGGCCCCGCTTCTTTTGGGGGGTTTTATTATTCCCAGCCCCAAATTCGAGAGGTTTGAATGCAAGCGGATATAATTGTAGGAAAAAATTGCTGCGATAAAACCTCTCCTTATATTAGTGGTCCATTTGCAAAGTAAGAAAGATTTTTGCGACATGCACGGTGCGAAAACAAAAGGGCACGTTGCACTGTGCATTTTGTTGTTTTTTTCATCGCGCAGACTGTTTTCGGCGTCCCTCGCACTCTTTCTTTGACTTTGCGAACGGACTAATAATTGAAAAGGAGGCGCAAAATAGACTCGTTCGAAGGGCAACAATTTAAAGTCATCATTTCTCGGTCTGTCGGGAAAATAATGTGGATTTGTCGCGGCAAAATGTCTCGTGTCGTCGATGGCGTCGGTGTGCCGTTTTATGGCACGTCGAATCCACATTATTTTCCCGACATACCGAAAAATGATGACTTTAAATTTGCTAAGGGTTGCATCAATTTTTGGGGTGTCACAAGGACCCTGAGTTTTCTGTACAGTTCAGGTCGTATACTGGTTGACAAAATTTTCTTTCCACCTCGTATCTCGGGAACCGCTAGACCTAGAACTTCCAAATTTGGCATAGAAACATCCTGGCACAATCTAACACCATACCCAAAAAATCAAATCATTTGATGCACTTTCAGTGCCCTTTTTATGCAAACGGCAAAAAAAGGATGACAAAATTTTCTTTCCACTTTGGAAAAACGTTTGCAAATCAAAAGCCAGAGGGCGCTAAGGCATGATTTTGGTATCGTTGTATTCGCGAAGAAGTCCTCTCTCGATCCGTGTCACAATTTAACAGGAGTTTTCGTTTGTTCGCCCTTGGGCTTTACAAACGGACTAGAACCAGCTTAATTGTCCTTAACGTCAAATAATATTGTATAATATTATTTTGTGCACTTTCCCAAAATACATCTGTTCGTTTATATCCGGATAAAACCGACTTGCGCACCCATTCTTTGCCCGCAAATTGGCCAGATCCCGTTTCCTTGGCCAATTTTCTTGACATCCATTAAGGGCCTTTCTTTTTGAAATTATTAGCCGCCGAATAACGAGATATATCCGGATAAACGGCTGAACCATTTTTTAGAGTGCAATTTACTCAAAAAAAATATGAAATTCGTATAAATACGGAAAGCTAAAATACGATAGGATTGTTATAAATATATGGTAGGTTGTATTGAACAATTCTGGAAATCAAAGAAGCGGGTTCCCGCCAACTTTATACAATCTTGGCGTTGGCGTTCTGTTGCAAGAGCTCTTGCAAAAAGTCTCTTGCAAGAGGCTTTTTTGCAGCAAATAAGCTTGCGATACGAAAGATAAATCAAATACGAAAATTTTAATTATTGATGAAGGTCCAAAAAGCCAGAATGTTCATGATAAAACCTCAAATTTCCCGTCAATTGCAAAACAAATGGGGACTGTGTTGAAAATAAATAAATAGGGTAGAACAGATGACGGTTAATCAGGCTATAAAATGAAAATTTTGCGTGAAATTTCAAAATTCGTATTTAGAAAAATTTGAAATTCCCGCCAAAAATATCAAATTTTGAAATATTGGCATTCCGTTGCAAATAACATTTATCGTAAAATTGGAGTGTTAAAATACGCTATAAATAATATCATTACAACTTTCTCCTGTAAAATGCAAATTTTGCTGTGCATTTCAAAAATTAAAATTTTTCGCCGATTTTCAGAATCCAACATTTTTTTCAAGAACGCGTTTCCCATCAAAAAATCTCATTCTTCTCCGCACACCGTTCCCCGAACTCATCGCCTCCGGTCTTAATGTTGACGTCTGCCGAGTGTTTTCCCTCCACGCCGAGCAGGTGGAATTGTCGAGGCCCTGAGGGGCGCACGGATAATCGAAATCTCCGACGGCATTCCCATTCCCAGCCGCCGCTAATGAGCCGACAAAAACCTATTACGCCACGTATAAATATTTAATAATCTCCCCTCCAAATAGCATTACCTTCGTCGGGGCCGCCGGGCGGCCCCGTAATTAGGTTCGCCGGCTTTTCGGTTTAAGGCACCACGCGGATATCGCGAAGGTAAACAAGGTGCTGGAATGACAGCCGACGGTTTGGTCCCAAAACAGGCAGCAGCAAAGGGCAGGGACAGGCTTGACGACATCGTTGTGAAAAGGTTTGAAATACAAAAATAAAAACAAATGTGATCAATATTCCAAGGGGTGCGGAGGAGATCAGTCCGTCGGGAAAATAATGTGGATTCGTCGCAGCTTATAGCCTCAATTTTTGTCATCCCGTTTTTTCGCCTTTTGCATAAAAAGTGCATGTAAAGTGCATCAAATTATATGATTTTTTGGGTATGGTGTTAGATTGTCCCAGGATGTTTCTACGCCGAATTTGGAGGTTCTAGGCCCTGCGGTTCCCGAGATACGAGGTGGAAAGAAATTGTTGTCAACCAGTATAGATTCGCCCGTATTCGCTTTGCGACGGTTAGCCGTTAGGGATTTGGTGCGAGACTGCGGCGAGGCGACACATTTCCAGCTACAAATCCACATTTATTTCCCGACAAAACTGACTGTTCTCCACGTTTTGCGTACCCTCTCAGCGGAAAAGATTGTTGAATATCTCGGGTGACCTCTTTAAATTGAGGGCTAATATTTTCAAAGGTTGGTGTGTGAGCTATGCACAACGTGAAAACAAGAATGTTGAGGAAATTTGAGCGTCGAACATTGGGCACTTTTGCTATCGGTCAGTTGGAAAAGTAATGTGGACTTGTCGCAGCAAAAGGTGTCGTTTTGTCGCAGGTGTGCGCCGAAAGGATCCGCATTATTTTCCCGACAAACTGATGTACATAGCGCCGTCTGCTGCCAAGCTGGTGTAACCGCAACGAGACATATGCGAAATCATCATAAAAAGCCGATATATTCTCGTCCACATCAAAAAGCGTTTCAAATGACCCTATCAGTCTGTCGGGAAAGTAATGAGTGTTCTGTTGCATCGAAAATTGCATCGCCGAGATTGAAAAGACTTCCTCGCCAACCTACTTCAAAACCAAATGGCTTCTTACTTCAGGAATTGCATTCGGCGCAGCGACAGTGCTGATAGATGTTCTCCTCTAGGTGACTCATTTTACTCACATTTCATCGACTAAAAACTTTAAAGAAATTATATAGATAGTTTATTCTCAGCCATGTAACGGCAATCATTCTCAATTCACACCACATATACAAGTAAAAAACAAGACATTTCAATCAAATTTAAAACTCGCACAGGTCATCACAATGGCACCAGGGCTTGATCAGTCCCCAGTCCTCGATCTCCGTATTCATCAGTGTGTCCATGTTTTCGGTGGACGAGGTGGTCCACGCGTTAAAGATCTTGCTCACCGCCAACAACTTCTCGTCGTCGGTGGCCGTTCCGTTCCACAGGATCACTTCGATGCGCTTCTTGTACGGCAAGAATTGGGTCCTCATGTTCTGGCCCCACTCATTGTCATAAGCGTCGTTGATGGAGTCAGTCAACGTGGTGGTGTTGTCGTCGCTGATGTTGATCCACAGATCGCGATCGGAACAGGTGCCATCCAGCGTGGAGGAGGCGGGATTCTCGGTGGTGGATTCGCCTGGAATAATAGAGTTTTTATGATGAAAGAGAGTGTAAAAAATCATAAAAGTTTTCATTATTCCGCCGGGAAAATGGTGAGCGCAATGTCGCTGATCGCGTCAACAAAGCGAAAAGCAACTTGATTTTGTCGCTTTTTGTGGTGGATAAGTAATTTTTGGGGCTCTATCAGTCTGTCGGGAAAATAATGTGGATTGGTCGCGCCTTGAAATCGCCCATCATCGCTTTGCAACGCCCCTCCGTGGCTGGAGATTTGGTGCGCGACTGCGGCAAGGCGAGATATTTTGCTGCGAAAAATCCACATTATCTTTCCAACAACTCGAGATTTAATTGCAAACGGAGTTTCTGTAGCGCGACAGTTTCTTGGAAAATCTTATTGTACCCACCTGATCCCTCTTCAGTTGTGCCTTCCCCTTCGCTTTCAGTGGTGGCTCCGGTCTCATCTCCTCCTTCAGTCGTACCTTCGCCCTCAGAAGTAGTCCCTTCTCCCTCGGCTTCGGTGGTTCCCTCATCTTCCGAAGTTGTTCCTTCATTGGCGGCGGTAGTACCCTCCGATTCCGAAGCTTCAGTGGCAGCGTCGGTTGCACTCGCCTCGGTAGTGGCTTCAGACTCGCTGGCAGTGGTTTCAGTGGCCGCTTCGGTTGTTTGGCTTTCAGCGGCGGTGGTTTCATCGTTTGCGGCAGTGGTTTCGTCCTGAGATGATGTAGTTTCTTGCTGAGAACTTGTGGTAGCGTCATTTACTGTTGTGTCGTCTTGCGCGGCGGTGGTAGCTTCATTTGTGGCGGTGGTAACCTCATCAGCGGCGGTGGTCTCCTCGTTTGCGGCAGTGGTGGCTTCATTTGCGGCCGTTGTATCAGCAGCAGCTGTAGTAGCCTCATTTGCGGCTGTTGTAGCTTCATTTGCGGCCGTAGTGCCAGCAGCAGCTGTAGTAGCCTCATTTGCGGCGGTAGTAGCCTCATTAGCCGCCGTAGTATCGTCAGCAACAGTAGTGTTAGCAGCAGCCGTAGTTGTCGCCGCCGCAACAGTGGTGGTTTGGGCCGCGACGGTTGTGGTCTCAACTGCATCTGTGGTTGTGGCTTCCTCAGTGGTTTGGGAAGCTGAAATTTTACGAAGTTACTGTGATGTCAGGAAAATGTCTTGGTGCGAAAGATATGAGCAAGCCCTGCCCACTGGTTGTATGATAGAAAAGTTCACAAAAAAATGGCGCAATTTCTGGATGTATGCGAGATTTTCAGCTCGCGCTGTGCAGAAACGACCGAGATTTTTAGATCATAAGTTGGGAAACATGTGACATGAAAAACTGCATGCATATGGCTACTGGAGGGGCTAATGTTTGGCGTACTCTCTGGGCAGCGAAGATACTTGAATATCTCGGCTGTGCCAGCAAAGAGCGAGCTAAAGCCTTCAGGAATTGACATGCCGCCTATTCCAAAAAGTGCGCAAAATTTAAAGAAAATCTGAGCGTTGCACTCGGAGTACCCTTGTGAATTATGGTTATGGAAAAAGTTCTTCCCTCGTATTATTATATATATATCATAATCGGAAACTGACCTGTCATCACCACCAACATGCCCAAGACACAAACAGTAGTGAACTTCATGTTTAGAATCCTTACAAAGTGTATTGCAAGCAACTCAACTTGATGCCAAGCGTGGCTTCAATCCTTCTTTTTATACCATGATTTAGCCCACGTACTCGACCTTGAAGTTTCGTAACGAAGTATCTTTAAAGCGCCAAATTTTGTGATTTTTGCTTTGATTTATGCAAATCTCAAACTATTTTCGTTCTGTTTGTGTCAAACGAAGATCCCCCGAGGGATGTTTGAATCGTTTATGACGTTGCGATTGAATTTCAGTTTATTTTTTTCTGATTTATGGTTTTAAGTCAGACATAATCGTCGCGACAGTGGCTGGCACAAGTTCATGTGAAGTGTGAGAGGGAAAACGGGGAGATTCCAGAAATTTTTGTGGACTTTAAAAGTTTAAAGTGCTGACTTTTGATGATTTATCATAATTGTGAGACAACGAAAGAAAATAATAAGTACAAAATACAGTGATGGCCTTTTCCGATGCCCTTTCCGATAGAATCAAGACAGGAAATTTTTCATGCAAAATTCGCAAAAATTGGTTGTATTTTACAAGGGAAGTACTCCAAGTTCGATGCTCAGATTTTCTTAAAATTTTGCACACACGTCGGGTATGGACTAAGCATCAATTCCTGAAAGTTTTAGCTTGCGCTTTGCGGGCGCCATCGAGATATCGCACGATTTTTGCCGCCGAGAGAGCACGCTAAACGTGGAGAGCGGTCAAAGAGAAAGACTCTTTTCGGACATAACTTTGGCAGTTTCGTGCGGAAAAATTTGATTTTTTGTAGAAAAATTATCCTTTACGATTGAAATAGGCAAGAAACTTTTCGTGCCGAAATTCTGCAAAGAGTCCTAAATTTTTGCCGATTTTCGATCTAAAAATCTCGGTTGTTTCTGCAAAGCGCGAGCTAGGATTCTCGCATATATCTTAGAAAAAATTATTCTAAATTTGTGCCAAGTTTCATCAAAATCTGAGCGTCGCACTTGGAGCACTTCCCCTGTTAGCCAATTTTCGACCTAACAATAAGGATCTCGTTTGTTTTTGCAATGTGCGAGCTGGAAATCCCGCGTATGTCTTGAGAAATTTTTATCTATTTCTGTCGAGATATGGTAAAGGTCTGAACGTTTCACTGCGACCACTTTTCTTTGTAAATTACCAAGAACCACTTCCATTTTTTTATTTTTTCTGTGCATGTATAATATGTATGTACTTCTAATTTTCAATACATTTTTAACGATTCAGGTGTCAGTGCCAACATCTAAAACACTCGAAATGTCAGCCTAAAAAATTTCAGCCTGCTGCCAAAAGTTCCCAGAAATTGTGTTATCTTTGGCTTTGTTTCCAAATTTCATCAACAAAGCAAAGTCCAAGTGGGCAGGTACACAGAACAAGCATGTGAACAAGATTGTTTGGCATTTCTACAGAAAGAATTGCAAATTTTCAGCTTATACGGGTGCTATTAAAAACAGGGACTTTTATGAAGGAAACACTACTACAAAGTATTAAAAAATACAAGAAATTTTATAATAGTGTTACAAGTGAACGAAGGCATATGGATTTCGTGAGAAAACGTATGCTCTGTGTACGCGAAACAGGAGAGCGTTCTGAAAAAAATAATACTTTTGACCGTATCAGTCTGTCGAGAGAATAATGTGGATTTTTCACACCTTGAATTCGCCTATCATCGCTTTGCGACGGGACGCCTAGGTGGCAACCCAGGGAGTCTCTCTCCTCATTTCGGCATTTCGCACATCCAGTATCGGTCAAATTCACACGAAAGGTCACAACAGAATTTTTGGTGTGGTTTTTCGATGGAAAACTATTTTTCTCGCAATTATTTTATTGCTTTTGTCAGTTGTGACACTTCGTTTCTACGAAACTCAAAGTTGTTCTGGGGTTTTGAACTATTCGGCGGTTTGCTGAAATAGAACCCCGCTGCTTGAAGAGCCTTGCCAAACGAAGGTTCGTCTTTGTGAAGAGTCCTTTTCTTCGAAGTCGTGAAATTGCAACGATGTTTAACATAATCTGAGAACGGAGCAGGTGAACCAAAACTTCAACCTCTAACTTCACGTGTCCTGTCGTCATCTAATCTTTGCTTCTCTTTTTAAATACACCACTATCACACATTATACATTATTCCTCTGCAACCGAGTCCACTTCCTTCACAAAAACCTCAACTCTTCAGCAGCTGAATTTTTTGTCGAATGCCTAATGACTCGCAAATCCAAAAATGCCCACCAATGCCCCCAAAAGTGTTTGACTTTTCGCGAAAACTTAATTCCCGAAAAATGTATTTGATTAAAACGGCGAACGTCAGATGCGGAGGACGGTAGGGCAAAAGGTTCATGTTCTGGTTCGAGACGGCCGAGGTTTGTCTCTGCTCGTTTCCGTTGTTCATCCTCTATATTCGGGTGTTGTACGTGTTGGCCAGGCGAAGGGCTAGTTTCGCCTCGCATTTCTATACAATCATGCTTGTGGGAGGCGTTTTTGTAAGTTGTTTAGGATGCGATTTGGTGTGTTGCTTCGCAATAATTTAGTCTATTCTTTTTTTTTGGTCCGTGCCCAGAGTTTTGGCTGCACACGCGAAGCGCTTCAACTGCGACACTCAAATTTTGATGAAACTGGGCCTAGATTTAGAATAAATTTTTTTACACTGTAGTGCAACACATTGCAAAAACTATCAGTCTGGCCGAAAAAGAACCGGCCTCCCCGAACCCTTCCGTCGCACTCACTCCAACCCCCAATTTGCATCGCGGAGAAATTTGGAGGGCGTCGCCGAAAGAAAGAGCAAAAACAACGCATCGCCAGCGATAAAAGTGGGTTTTGCACAGTGCAAATGCCCTTTTTCTGCTTTTTCGCACTGTGCAATCAACAAAATTCCCACAAATTCAGCGATCTTTCGATGTCGCGCGCACTTTTGCGATGCATCGCGAAAACATTCAATTTCGAGGTTGCGATTTCGAGGCGCGAGGGGGGCCGGTTCTTTTTCGGCCAGACTGATAAAAAAAATTTTCATAGCGCTTTTTCAATTCAAATGTTCATTTTGGCTTACAATCGGCTTTTGGAAGATCTGAAATTGCTTGCCGTAGGCAAGTTTAGTTTTTTTATCAGTCTGTTAGGAAAATAATGGGCACAAATTTCGCTGCGCCCATTGCGTCGCTGAAGTGAAAAGTGATTTGACTTTCTCGCGACACAAACAACACAATTCATTTCCCCGGCGGCGATGCGATGCGATTGCGACAAAACTTTTTGGTTGCGACAGAACGCTCATTATTTTCATGACGGACTGAAGTGTCCGCTGTGCACGGGTTTCATTATAATTTTGATTGATTGTTGATACTTCTGCTTTTTTCATCTTTTCAAAAATCTACATGCATATTTAACCCTTCAATCACAAAAACCATTTTCAGGACGTGCTGGGCTGCTCCTTCTACCTGGTCCTCATCCGCCTAGTCAACACGGACTGGTTTGTTAATAACATCATGTCGTCAGTCATGAAAAAGTTCACCTTCTACGGGACGCCCGTAATCTACCTCGAATACCATTGCATGTACACGGCGCAGATCTCGCCGTTGGTCATGGCTTTCAATCGGATGTGTAGCTTGTGTTTTCCGCTTAGGTATGACCGGGTAAGTGGTTTCATTTTTGGTGTGCATAATTTATTGGGAAAGGCTAAAAACGCAATTTTTTGTATGGATAGAAGGAGCGATTCGTTTTTTTTTGGATTGGACTTTATAAATGTCAAGCAAAAAAAGAAGTGTGAGGGTTTGAAACACATTCTTTATGTACAATTTCTTTTTTTTTTTTGCACCGTGCTTTTTGGGGCTGCCGCTCGCACCATGACTTTTTTCGCACACTGCAAATGGCAAAAATCTGTCAGACGCCTTTCTGGAAGGATCATTATTGCATCATAAGTCTGTCGGGAAAATAATGAGCACCCTGTCGCACCGAAAATCGCATCGCCAAAATGAATTATTTCGCGGCAAAATCACATTGATTTTCACTTTTGTTTAGTGACGCGAACGGCGCAGCGACATTGCGCTCATGATTTTGTAGACAAATACGTACATTCGATGGTGAAAAAACGGAGTGGGCGAGAGAAAAATAAGAGGTTTTCGAAATCCGAATTTGTTAGTAAATATTTTTAATTTTCTTTTTAAAAACCGTGTGGGCAGGGCACAGGTGCCGTTTTTGACGTCGGCAAACACTAATAAAATAAATTTTAATCCAATTTACATAAAAAACATTATTCGAAATTTTTTAAAATTCTGGTGGGCCTCATTGTTATAAAAATTTTAAGGCAAAATGCACAGAAAGATGGTCTGAACAGAAAGTGCACAATGTAAAAAGGGGCCAAAAGCTTTAAGCGCCGATACAAGTCTCTATCAACCTGTCGGGAAAGTAATGTGGATTTGTTGCGCCTCGCATATCATCTTTGCGACGGCTTGCCGCGGCGGATTCGGTGCGCGACTGCGACGAGGCGAGACATTTTGCTGCTACAAGTCCACATTATTTTCCCGACAGACTGATGGATGTTGACTAATTTCATTGAAAGGGAAAAGGGCGGAAGTCGGATCTAACGCAGAGTATGTCGGGGAAGTAATGTGGCCTGAGAAGCGCCCATCTTGTCCGATTCCATCGCAGCTCAGACTGAAATCCGAAAAGAAATAACGAGATGGCTGGTGGTCTTGCGGTGGTTTCTGCAGGCGACTACCTTCAACAACTTCTACCTGAAATTACTTGGCCTTCCAAGTGGAAGGTTGCTGATGTGCGGGTAGTCGATGCTATTCGTTCCCCTAGGATCAACGCGAGAATAAAGAGCGATCCACGTGAATAAATGAATTTATCGAGAATAGTAAACAATTAATCAAACCTCAGAGAAGGTTACGGTGTCGTGATTCAGGCGGTTCGCTTCGGTATCTCTCCATCGAACGTTCTCGAACATCGGGGAAAAACAACTGGGGAAACAGTTGACACGGGGCGACATCTCTCTCTCTCTCTCTCTCCATAAATTCCATCGAGTTGACAAATTGCAGATAACTCCAAATTCAATGGAATCTGACACATCTTCTGTTAACCAAGCGTTCTTAACCTGTTCATTTCAGATTTGGAAACACTGGAAGCCAATTCTCTTTGTCTGCTACGTGATCCTCCCATTTTCCTTTGCCTGGTACATCCTCCTGAATCGCTCTGGATTCACATTCGATGTAACGCCATTGTGGTTCAACTACAGTGGGTATGATTACGACCACACCTATACTTTTGGGGTATGCTTGGAATATATAAATTACAACCAAATCTGCTGTGATTTAGATCATGGACGCCGTGGTCACGTTATACTTATCGCTCGGCTGCGCCGTTCTTGCGTTTTGTCTTAACTTGGTCAACGTCTGCATGCTGATTCGCCACAAAATGAAAGGATACGTGACCGGGAAGCGCGAGGCCAACCTAGTTATCTGCTCCACGGTCATATTCTTCGTCCAATGTTGTGTAGTTTTAGGGCAGGTGAGTTATATGCACTCATGCTCAAGAAATGTAACAAAATTAGTATTGGCGGAAGTCTTATACGTATAAATAAAGGTCATAAGAAAAAGTGAAAAGATAAATAAGATTTTTTGATATGACGTCATTTTGAGCAAAAGATGAGAGAAAGATTTTAATAAATTTATCAAATGTTTTTAGCACATTTACATGAGTGGTGCCTTCAATATCTACGTGACTCTACGATTTATTATTCCGCCAACATTGGAAGCTCAATTTGTCTTCCCCGCTTTGGTCATCGTCTTATCGATTGGGTCGCTAAGAGAGGTGGTCTTCAGCCCGCTCTTCAATTCTCGGCCAATTATCACGTTTAGCAATTTCCAGTCAAAGTAAGTCTGCCATTTTGTTGCCACGTGCACCGTTTTTATCAGTCTGTCGGGTAAATAATGTGGATTCGTCGCGCCTTGGAATGGCCCATCGTTGGTCTGCGACGGCTAGCGGCGGTTGGGGATTTGATGCGCGACAGCACCTTTTTCGACAAGGCGAAACAGTGCAATAGGCTTTTTTGGGCTGTCGCCCGCACCCTGAGCTTTCGTGCGCAGTGCGTGTCGCCAAAATCATTCCAGCGACTTTACGAACGGACCAGTAAAAAGCGCTGATTATCAGTCTGTCGGGAAAATAATGAGTACAATGCCGCTGTGCCTATTAGTCGCTGAAGTGAGAAGCAATTTGATTTCGCCGCGACAAAATGAACTTCCTCGGCGGCGATGCGATTTTTGATGCGAGATTGAGCTCATTATTTCTCCTACAGACTGATATAGTCCCTTATGAAACCGCGCAATTTCAGAGTTGCAACACGCACAATTTTTCTAAACTAATTTGAGTCCCGTACTTCCTGAAATACTAAAATTCTGGGACCTCTGGAATTGTTGAGAGGTAACACAGCCATTACAGCTTAATCGAGCTTAATGTTTCAGCAGTATCACACCGATCGAAGCCTTTGAATCCATTGTGGTCCCGAATAATGCGGTTGCCGCATACAACAACAGGAGCGTCTAACGGAGATTTTAAAAACATATACATGAGGTTGTTAACTAACTTAGGAATGATTTATGCCATAAATAAATGTCTTTTCCATGATTTTTGAAATGGTATTCAAGGTATCATTTGCAAATTTTACAAATTTTGACTGAATGATTTATCGATAAGACGGAGTGTTCATTGTTTTCCCTACAGGCTGATCGTCGGTTTGGATGCAGTCCGTTGAGGCTGCATTTGTAATTTTTGGCAAACTTGTCCGGTTCAAAAATGAGCGACTTCTTTTTCTGGAAGGATTTGAAGCTATGTATGAATTTGTCGGGAAAATAATGAGCCCAAGGTTGCTGTGTCGGTCGTGTCACTGAAGTGAAAAGCCATTTGATTTTGCCGCGAGACAATTCATTTTTTTTTGATGGCGATTTGATTTTCGATGCGCCAGACTGTTCAATATTTTCCCGACAGACTAATAGTGCGTTCGTAAAGTCGCTGAGATGATTTCGGCGAAGAGGGCGTTGAGCTCAAACGCTTTGAGAACACAAAAGTTCACTTTTCGCTGTGCAATTTTTGCTTTTTGCATCCCGCAATAGCTTTTTTGGACTGTCGATGATTTTTTTGCGATTTTTGCAATTGCGCCAAATCTGATCAAAATGTGCTTGTAGCTTCTTTAGCAAATTTATATTTCTAGTTTCCCTGTCACAGTCTGCAATTGTCCAATCATTTCCATCCAATTTACCTTACAATTGACGCTTCAAACCTGCCTAAAACCTATTCTAAAGATCAGAAACAAATTTATGTTTGATATAAATAAAACTGAAAAACAATTTCAAAATTTTGATCACTGACATGTTTTTCGTTTATCGACTTTTTCAGCGGGTAAAACATCAAGTCTTTACTCGATTTTACAGCCTTCAAAAACAGTGTTTGCAAAAATTGGAGGGAGCGGCTTCGACCTTTGTCTCTGTTGGATGGATTTGCATTCCATTCCGTTGAAACCCTTCATTTCCGATGACGCAAATCGGATTTCATCAACAAAAATTATTTAAAAGTCAACAACAAGATTGAGGGTGATATGCAAATCAGTGAGGGACTCAACTAAAGATCAGCAAGGCTGTAAACATAAATATTTGGAACTGAGAAGTTGGTGCATACAATATCAGTTTTTCACGTTTTCTCACAAAAACATAGTCGCAAGAATGAAAAATTAGCATAACACAAAAAAATGTTCCTTTGCTCCTAAGTATTATGGGCTTTATTCCGCCTGTCGGGAAAATAATGAGCACTCTCTTGCATCTCTCGGGCGACGAGATAAAATGAATGGACTACGGACAGTGTAGAATTATCCTTCCGAACAGGACACTCGACTTATTATTTACCTTACAGTTCGATGCTTTATGAGAAAATGTGTTGACCTTGCTCACATTTTTTAAATTGATTAACATAAAAAGTGCAGAATCAAAGTAAGAGCGAACTGAAAGTGCAAAAGGTAAAGCAAAAGGTCAGCGAAAATTAAAAAGTCAGTTGAGGGATGAGTCAGTCAAGGTTTAATCCAAATTCGGATTACAAATGTACCAAATGTCGGAAAGGTTATGAGCACAATGTCGCTTTGCAATCATGTCGCTGAAGTGAAAAGCAATTTCATTTTCCGTGACGCAATTCATAACGAATACGAATAAGTTTTATTGCGCGTGATCGGCACGATACATGTGAAATCCTTCAAAGTATCTGATAAGCTGTACAAAGGCCTGATTGATCTTGTTCTTTCTAGCATCTACGTCTTCTAAAAGCCTCCTGATACCTGCAACGACGAACCAAGAAGACCCAAAGCACCGTGGACTCGACCTAGGCCAAAAAATTCAACCCCTATGAAACCATTTAGTACGCAGTGGAATCTCTGTCCAACCAAACTCTCATACAGCGAAACGTATGCATAACGAACATTATCTGAGCTTGCAATGGTCAATGTTAGGTCAAAAAGAACCTTCATATATATAACGAAGCCCTTCCACAAAAGAATGTTTGACTCTGTTAAATACGTCTCGTTAATCAGTGTGTCGGGAAAATAATGGGCACAATGTTGTCAATCGTGTCGATGAAGTGAAAAGCAATTTGATTTTTCCGCGACACAGCTCATTTTTCTGCGGCGATGCGATTTTCGATGCGACGGCGTGGTCATTATTTTCCCGACAGACTGATATTGACAACTCCTCATTATTTTTCCGACTGATTGATCTTGGTAAGTCCACATTATTTTCCCGACACACTGATACACATGTTTTGGCTGCTTCTGTTTTAATCAATTCAAAATTTTTTTTTGTTTGAAACCTACGTACGATTTATGTTCTGATGTTTACTCACCCTCATTGCCAGCAGCAACACTATTTTACATTTTTCCCAGACCTTTTATTCCTGCCCTTTGAACTTCCCATGCAAAGTCTCCGTTTTCGAGACTTTTATGGAAATTTTTCTCCTCTAAGCTGTCGCTCTCTGAGGCGATAAATTCGTCTGCGATTCCGGTTCCCTGGAACGCCGTCTTGTTTTTCGGTTGTTCCAAAGAAAAACAAAAAAAAATTAATCCGATTTATTTCCTTAATTTGGAGACGAATTTTGCATCAGAGAAAAGATGAGCGAGAGCACTAATGAATAACGTGTTTTTGCTAGAACAAGAAAAAAGGTGAATTTTAGGCCTTGGGACGAATATTGAAAAAAAAAAATTTTTTAATTACGCCCTGTGTAAACAAAATAAAAGACATTTTTTTGCACGGTGCAACAAAAGAAAATTTTGCACCATGCGGACAAAAAAATAGGCACTGCGCAAGAAAAACTAAATTTTTTTTGCGCGGCGCAATGGAAGGTAAATTTTGCACCGTGCGGACAAAAAAAATTATGCACTATGCAAGAAATCAAAAAAATGTTTGCACTGCGTAAGATTTTTTTTGCACTGTGCAACGAAAAAATGAAAGTTTTTTTTTCGCACCGTGTCCGATTCCACCTTCGGATAGAAAAGAAAACAACGATATGGCTAGTGGTCTTGCGGTGGTCTCTTCAATCGGCTACCTTCAGCACCTTCTACCTGGAAATACTTGGCCTTCCAAGTGGAAAGTTGCATATGTGGATGTCGGGTAATCGAAAGATATCGTTCCCCTGTAATATGGACACGAGAATAAAGACTGATCGACTGGATTAAATGATTTATCAATAAAAGTAAACAATACAATAAAATAAGCAATAAAACACAACTCTACAACAACTACACTTCACAACTACAACAACTCATCGACTGATCAAGATGGGATAAAACCTCAGAGAAGGTTACGGTGTCGTGATTCAGGCTCTCCGCTTCGGGATCTCTCCGTCAAACATTCTCGAACATCGGGGAAAAACAACTGGGGAAACAGTTGACACAGGGGACATCTCTCTCTCTCCATAAATTCCATCGAGTTGACATATCGTGGATAACTCCATGTTCCGTGGAATCTGACACACCGTGCAATCAAGAAAAAACACTGCACTGTGCAATAAAAATTTTAAAAAAACTGCCAATTGAAATTTTCAAAAAATTGCACAGTGCAATCAGTAAATTACCACAATTAAAATTCTTTATTCGCACAGTACATATTTTACTTCTTCTACAATCATTGTATAATCGCTAAAAAAAAGTTTGTTATACAAAGCCTTCATTATAAAAAATTTCAAATTCAAATTCCCCTCCATCTCCCTTCTCCAACGGATTAGCTTCTTTAACCCGCTAGGCTCCGCCCAATTTTCGCAAAACCCCTTCCGATGGGACCTTTCCCGGAGGCTATAAAACCCGAACGGAGGTCGTTGGGGAAGCAGAATTCGCATTACTTCGAAATGAGGTAAGCGCTTCTCCAAATTGTCTCTTCAAGACCCCAAAAAAAGACCTAAAATGGAGTGATTCATGGCTGTTCTTCATTTCTCTTCAAGAACAACCCTATTCGTTATGATTGACTTGTCTTAACTTGTTGTTCAAGCAGCATGAAGATGGATTTTCAAGCGGTTTTCAGACGATTCGGCTACAATTTCGCGCCTTTTTTGCGTCGGCAGGTGAGATTTTGAAGATTTTTTGACTGAAAAGTAGATTTTTCAGATTTTCTGCCGTTTGGCGGGTAGAGCTGGCATAGAATCGTTTTTCACATTGGCTAAGAACGCATACCTTTTCTCTTCGGCGTATTTTAAAATCTTTTTTTCCGTTTCAGTTGAGCCCACAAAAGCGAAAAGTCCAGGTACGATAAGCATCCAGAATCTACAGTATACCATGACAACTGATGAGTGAATATCCCCCAAAATGACTTGATTATGACGTCCTCTACGCTGTGGTCATACAGAACATTGTGTTACGCTTACCACAGCAATTTTTGCAAAACTTTTGCAAAAATGATAGCTATCCCAAGATGGCTATGTTGCGATGTCGTATGCCAAATAATGTCGTGTTCGGACAGCACGCCCCATTTTATGGCCATCTGTCACAAATACGCGGCATCTGCGGTCTGTATCAAGATGGTCATTGTAAATTCATTATTTCCGGGGGCGAAATAGACCTGAAATGACGTCATTTGTCATGAACTACTTCAAATTTGTGGTAGCATCATATTACAATCGATCTTGGAGTTTGTACTTATTATGACGTCACATGAATTGGATATTTCTATAACTGACGAATATGCCGCCAATCGTCATAACGTTAGTCATCAAACTACATAATTTTTATGAACAAATACGATATAAAATGACATTAGCTACAGCCTACTGCCGTTTTGCGCCGCTACACACCTAATGATCATACGTCATATTTCGACAAATTATGACATCAACTTCCATTATGTTCCCATCCACTATTGCCATTGCTGAAATGGTCGTAACTGTCAGCAAACCTTCTACTATGAAGTCATTCCTCATATCCACTCATCACAACGTCCAACTGCTCCTCAACTCTTCAGCCCGCCAGCCCGAAGCCAATCCGAATCCCCTCCCTCGCCAGTAAGACGGAGCGGACGCGGACGGTTGCCTGATCCACGTTGAGAGCGATGTTTATCCGGCCAACTCTCCTTTAACCCTACAAAAGAAGCCATGAGGATCTTCCGAAAGATCCGGGAAGCCATGAGACAATTGAAATTGTATTTCCACCCAACGAGTTATGTACATTTTGCCATTTGAAACGCATTTTTCTATTGTACGAAGGACGTATAATAAAAAAGCAAAGGGAAGATGGCTAATTGCTTATTGCTATATGGGAATTCATGCGAAAATTTGAGGATTATATGCGTCGCAGCTGACTCAATAGAGCCCACAAAAATTTTGGCGAAATGCCACAAAATCTGTTATTGACTTTTTTGACGAAATGCCACAAAATCAATTATTGATTTTTTTTGATATACTCGAATATTAGATGCAAAATACGAACGGATCAAAATTTTTAAAAATAATTTAAAGTTTTTGGTGAAAATCAAAAAAAAAAATTATTAAACTTTGCATTTTTTACCGGTCGGTCGGCTCTGCAAATAAAATTTCTCAACCGAAAAATGGGCACTTCTCAGTCAAAAGACGGCAGTACACGAACCGCCATTCCAACAGATGCTAATCAACAGCCGGAAGAGGTCAAATCTTTGATCGGAAAGGTCCCTTCGGCCAGGTTGAATCTCGACAGTGCTGATGAGGAGATCCGCAGAATCGTCAAGTCCCGCTTTCAAAAGCAGGACTGGGCCATGGGAAGAGGCGTCGTTGAGGAGGAAATGCTGGTTATGGGCTTCCGACCGGTAAGTGTAGGGCGCAGCTCGGGAAAGAAATTGGAGTGGTTTGTTGTAAGTAAAGAGGGAAAAATGCAGCTTGGAGGTTGTTATGGCCAAAAAATTCAATTTAAAATACGGTACATCGAATTCTTCAACAATTCGACAAAATGTCAAAAGAATATTGGATTTTTTTTGACATTTCGTCCAACTATGAAGTTGCCACGTAAGCAATTTTTATGTTTTTAAAATACGTTTTGAGCCGTCCTTTGAGAATTTCCACGATTTTTTTTTATTAAAAAAGATTTTAAAAATCTATTAGGGTGAACCAAATGTTTTTGCCGTTTTTTAGGTCTCTTTTTGTCCAATTGTTTTTTTACGAAATAAATATTTTTATATGAATGTGTTATATATATTTTTAAAGGTCGTGAACTGCTTTATCATAATATATATTAAAACTTTTAATTGGTCTTTTATTTAAAATCTTTTAACCTGTAGAAAAAACATGGAAAAATCCGAAATTCGTGTTTTTTTACGTTATTACCGAAAACAAGGCTTCAACGCAACTGCAGCAGTAAAAAAGATAAGCGAAGTTGAAGGCTACAATGTGGTCTCAGATCGTACTGCGCGATTGGTTCAAACGATTCAACGACGGCGACACGGACCTCGAGGGCAAGACATCTTAAAAAACAATTTTGAAGGCGTAATTCACTTCGAGTTGGTTCCAAATGGTCGGACTAGCGACGCAGACCTCTACTAGCTCCACTCAATCGAATGTATGCAGCGATTGGCAAAAAATATCCCGATTTGATCAATCGAACCCGCGTACCCCTGCAACAAGACAGCGCAAAACCTCGCACCGCCAAAAAAACGAAGGAAAAAATCAAAACTCTCGACGCCATTGAACTTCTTCCACATCCAGCGAATAGTCTGCACATTGTGTCATACGACTATCACCTTTTCCGCTCCATGGCACACTTTTTGCGTGGTCGTAGCTTCAATGATCTGGACGATGTCGAAGACGGATGCCGCGAGTTTTTCGCTTCTAAGAAAAAGGAGTGGTACCGCAGCGGGATCGAACAACTTGCCTATAGATGGGTTCAAGCCATAGATTCAAATGGCCTTTACTTCGAAACTTAACTAGTTTTCGTTTGTTGTAAAATTATGTTTGAAGTTTTAATAAAAAAACGGCAAAAACATTTGGTTCACCCTAATATTTAAATTTTTTCCAAATCCTCAAAATTTCAACAGTTTTTCGATGTTTTCCAGGCGTTTAGTTTTAATTTTAGAAGTCCCTAGTCTCCCATGAAGTGAAGCATGACTTCGAAATCGCTCTGGAACATCCATCAAGCCGTCCCAAATCTGCTCGACCCAATAGGATGATTTCCAATATAATTTATTGTATAACGTATTCACTGAGCTGCAGTGTGATCCTGGACTTTCCCTATCTCTGCTACAAGCATGGAGGAGGCAAGTCACAGTTTTTGGCGGGGCAAATTATGAAGTTTTTGAGCTAAAAATTGAATTTTCTATACCTGATGCCCGAAAATATACGTATTTTACCTTACAAGCTTGTCATAAATATACTTCTAAAATTAATTTTCAAGTCTTGTTTTAGCCACATTCCTCATTCACTGGCTGATTTCGCTGATTTTGTTCGGAATTCCAATGGTTTTTATCGAAATTGGCCTCGGGCAATATTATGGGAAATCGGTCACGTTGATCTTCGCTGCGATGAATCCGAGCTTCACTGGTAAGTTTATTTTTTGTTTCGTATTTTAAAATTGTTTTTTTAACTATTTGCGCAAAGTTTAAATTTGAATTTTGATTTTCCCGCCAAATTTAAAAATCTTTGGCATTCCGTTTCAAGGCCGCTAAAACTCAGATTTAATGGCGAAAACGTTTTTTACCACTGTGCAATTACCATTTCAGGCATTGGAATGGCCATGCTCATGATCAACGTCCTCAAATCGCTCTGGAATCTGAAGGTTGTGGTGATCTCAGTGTACATGTTCACATTTGGCCTGCAGAGTTGGTATAAATCGGAAAATCAATGGAGTAGATGCCCTGATATCTCTGTAAACTGCTTTGACTTTATGTGAGTGGCCTCTGAATTTAGATTCTTTTCTGAAAATGCGATTTTTTCAAGAGTTTTTTTGATTTTTTGGGCGAAATTGTGGAGTTGCGTTTCGGAGTGCCCTAAGGCAATGAATTTTAAAAATAAGAAGAAATTTATAAAGGGGATTGATAACTGATGCTATAGGCTATATCTTTGCTGAGTTTCAAAATTTTCTGTAATTTTCAAAAAAAGTTACAGCAATCCCAAGAATTTTTTATTTTTTCCATCTTTATCTCTAATAATCGCAATTTCAGTAAGCAAGAGCGCTGCACGCATCTCAAGGAGATGGCGATTGAAGGTCTAGTGGGTCAGCAAGAGTATGAGAGGGAAAAATGCCCCTTGTTTCTGGAATCTCTCGGCAATACGAACTTCTCCGGCGCCCATGGAGTGAACCCGATTATGATGGACTTCATGAACGCTTATGTTTGGCCAATTCCTCCGGATTTGAATCGGTTCGAGTACGGGTCGGAACCGATCATCCAAATTACAATGGGCACGTTTACGTTGGCGATGATTTGCATGGGAATTGGAATGAAGACAATTGGGTTGATCCCGTTGGGAATGCTGAAGATTATGGCGGTGATGGTCTTGCCCTGGCTTTATTATTTTTGTAAGTTTTGAGGGATGGTAATATTGTACTTTGGGAATATTGGGCAGATTCGGCATTTTGGGCAAATCGACAAAAATGAGATTTTAAATGCGATTTTGGGCATTTTAGATGAACTTGGCCATTTCGGCAAGTTGGGCAAATTGGGCAAGTTGGACAAAGAGGGAAAATAGATGTTTCTAATTTTGTGAATTTCGGTTTTTTAAGCAAATTGGACCAAGCTTGGGCTTTTTGGGAAAATTCGGGAAAATTTGGGCATTCCGGGCAAGTTGGGCAAATTGGGCAAGTTAGACAAATTGTGGTTTTAAATGCGATTTTAGGCATTTTGGGACCATTTTGAACAAGCTGGGCATTTTGGGCAAGTTGGGCAAATCGGGCAAGTTGGACAAGTTGGGCAAATCGGGCAAGTTGGACAAGTTGGAAAAATTATAATTTTAATTTTGTAAATTTGAACATTTCTACTTAGACCAAGTTTGGACTTTCCGGGCAAATTCGGGAAAAACTGAGCACTTTGGGCAGGTTGGGCAAAATGGGAAGTAATGAAAATAATTAGAAGCTTCATTATTTTCCCGACCATTTTCAGTCTCCTCAGCGCCAAACATCGACGCTGGTTGGCGGATGTTTTTCACCTTTCAATCGACCCACTTATTCGATGGTCAAAGCTGGGCCGACGCAATCTACATGGTCATGACAACTATGTCGTAAGTCAATATGACCTAGAGACTTGTTGAAGCCGCTTTTTAGCATCTGCGACGGCACTTTGCATCGAGTTGGGGCCCTATACAACTTTAGTCATCGATATTGGACTTCGGTGTTTTCATTGGTGATCGTCACTGTATTTTCATGTGTAATGTCAACTTTGACATTGACTTTGGCTGTTTCTCTGCTGGCTCGTAAGTTTTGAAGGTTTACAGAAAGGATCGGACATATTTTAGATCAAAAATCGGTGAAATTTTTTTCGATTTTTTTCTAATTTTTCATATAGATGGGCAAAATTCATCAATTTTTGGGCTTTTCTTGACATAATAGAAGACTAGGAATGTTTTTAGGCTGAAAAGATACTGTATCTTTGATCAATTTTTGACTAAAAACAAAAAATTTTTTTTAAATTTTTTTTTGATTTTTTCGAGTTTTAAGATATACAAATTGTCATTAAAATTTTCACAATGGTAAATTCTACTGAAAAACTTACTATATCACTGCTTTTTCAGACCAAATGTACACGCATGGTGGCTCTGCGAACGGAACAGATTTGCGAATCCACGAATACATGGTGCATGGCCAATCTCTCACCTGGTCGGCGGTGCCTGAGGCGCTGAATGCGTTTGGCCTTGTTGGCCCATTCCACTTGATCGTAGCGTACTATTTCTCCATTGCCGCAATCGCTTTTTCCTCGCTGGTAAGCGGGAAATGAAATGAAAAGGAAGAAAAGCCGTGCCTCATTGGCTCAGGGGCAGAGCGTCTGTCTAGTAAACAGAAGGTCGCTGGTTCGATTCCAGCATGAGGCAGTTGTGTTTTTTGATGATTTTTTGGGGATTTTTAGGCCATGAAATGTTGCGCAAACGTATTTTACTTTCAGACTGTGAAGTTTTATGCTGTATTTGGAAAAAAAGGGAAAAAATTAACTTTTTTTTTATAAAACAGCAGCTTTTTACCTAAAATAAGGTGTTTTTACTTGAAGTTTGACTCAAATTGACTGTTCAATGTACTTTCAATTCTTTTCAGGTCATGAACCTCTCTCAAATCTTTTGCTGTCTGAAAGAATCGGCTCTTTTCGGCTTTCTCCTCTCCCTTGGAAAGCCATTGATTACTCTAAAGAAGTTGCTGCTCTTCTTAATGCTCACTGTGTTCTTCCTGCCGCTTGTGTTTACGTTGACAATGCCCTGGTCGATAGTTCTTGTCCGCTTGGGGGTCCAGCATTCGGCCAATGTCATGTTTTTGGTGGCTTTGTTGGAGGCCGGGGTAGTTGCATATTGTTATAACGGAGGCAAATTCTTTGTGTAAGTTGTTGTTTTTGAGCGTTCACGTAGCTATGAGAGGTTGCAAAAACATTTTTGAACTTGTCGAATGAGATCTAGTGACTTTTTGATGAATTTGACGAAATGTCACAAAATTTATTGGAATTTTTTTTGTTGACATTTTACCAAAAATACCATTAAATTTTTTTAAAAATCTTTTTTACACCTTAAAAACACGCCTAACCGATTTTTTACCGAGTTTAACGAAATTTCACAAAAATTATTGGATTTTTTGTTCTTGACATTTCGTCAAAATATGAAAAATGTGATCAGTAAGATTGATTTGACGTCAATATTTTTTTATTTTAGCGACATTCGGACCATGCACACTCGTCTTTCATTCATCACGGCCGTCCCGTTCATCTGTATTTTGACGATTTCCCCGTTGCTGGCCTACGGAGGCTTCTCGTGTCAGCTCTCATTGAACCAAATGAGCCGAGTGGCGGATTACGTGATCCCCACTAAACTTAGAAATGCCGGATATATGACGCTAATCGCTGCGATTTTGTGAGTTTGATAACAACTTTTGAAAAAATGATTTTTTTACATCTTTTTTGTTTTGAATTTTTAATTTTTTTTTTTTTATTTTTGAAACTTACAGTAAAATGGTTTTTTTTCAGTATAATCTACATGTTCCCGACCGTCAGTATCCTGACGAATTGGTTCAATCATTACTCGATCAAGGCGGCGTGGCAAATCCAACCCACCTGGGTCCCGCAACGAAAACATGACGCCAAAGTTGCGCATGCCAATCGGCTCGCCTTCCGCAGCCAACAGTCCTACAGTCGATGTGTGGTCGCCAAGAAGGGAGTTCGACATGTTACCGAGAAATGAGCTCATAATTAACGTGCAAACTGCGGGAGACATTTTATACGAACGATCAAATTCGTTTTGGTGATTTTATGGCGTTGATTTATCGATTTATTCCAATAAATTTTAAACTGTACATTAACCCGGAAGACAAATAAATACATTTAACAAATTTTTGAATTGTTTAAAAAATAAGAAAAAAGAGAGATCACTTGCTTGCACTGTAAGATACGAGGCGTAATAAATAAATCGGCTAATCGACTAGGACATGTCAACACGAAGCCTCAAAAAGCATTCAAATACAAAAACGGCTTTGCTGTCATCGGCTTCACTCCGGGTCTATGGCCATGACAATGCAATAGACGACGAAACTTGCCGTTCTCTCGAACATGCATTTTGTTCTGTTGAAGGGGAACCTTGGTCCTAAAAAGAGAAAAAAATTTACCTAATGCATACAAATAAACATTTAAAGAATTTAAAGTACAATTTTAAAGATTCGCGTAATTAGACGAAATGTCACAAAAATTATTGGATTTTTTCATCTTGATATTTTGCTAGAAAGTTCCAGAAAATGACGTTAAAATGCGTGTCAATTACTGTTTATGAGCTGTCGTTGTGTAGACGTTGGGGTCATTCTCCATAATTTGACGAAATGTCACAAAAATTATTGGAAAAAATGCTCTTTCGATATTTCCTCTAAAATCAAAGGGCTATTGAAAATCCCGTCCAGAAGCGTTTTAAACAATTTTCAACGTAATTTTAACAGCTTTTTAAAAGTTCGACGAAATGTCACAAAAATTATTGGAAAAAATGCTCTTTCGATATTTCGTCTAAAATCAAAAGGCAATTGAAAATCCAATCCAAGAACTTTTTAATAAAATTTCAGAGTAATTTTGAACCGTTTTTAAAAGTTTAACGAAATGTCACAAAAATTATTGGAAATTTTTTCTTTTCATTATCCTTCCAAAAATAGTCGACAATACAAGAGATATATAAAAGTCTATTTTTACGGCCATTTTTTTCCCCTTTTTCCAAAAACTTCCAAAAAAATGCAAATCGCAACTCACAAAATTTTGAGCTTCAGTTCCGCTGGCAGCGACGGAAACCTCCGGAAATACCCGGCACGCTCCATATGGAATCTGCAATTGTACAAGATCTCCTCCACTTGATCCGTTGTGCCGAAGAAAATCGTGTACGAGTCCAGCACCTTGCACCAGCTGTTGTAGAAGGGCATAATGTTGTTGGTGACCATTTCCGGGCATCCTATTGCCTTGGGGTTCTGCTCCAACTCCACTTGAACCAGCGCCGTTAGAATAGCATAGTGAATTCCTTCGGCAGTGACGACCTGATTGAAGGGGTAGGTCCGAAAGGCCGGCTTCAGCAGCTGCAACAGCGCCTTCAGATGGTAAATGTTGGCGCGGGTGCTGAAGAAGAGGGCTGTCCGTGTTTTCGGGTCGTAGCGGCAGGCCTGCATCACCTTGTAGAGCCGACTGTTCGATGTGTGATGGGCAGAGGAGGTACATCTGAAGTAAGTGGATATAGTATGTGCGTAGTAGGAGGGCCGGTTGGGGCTGAAATGTTTCGGAGTTACGGTGCTGCAATGGCTATGTTGTAAGCTTTGGCAATGTTCAGGCTGGGTGTAGCTTGGCCTAACCTTAGATTAGAGCTTAGGCTTTCTTCTACCATGCGCGGAGCGCACAGTCTTCTGATTCTTGGGCGCAGCTTGCATTAACTTTTCATTTCTTGGGGTGGTGGCCAAACCAGTCTGTCGGGAAAATAACGTGGATATGTCGCAGCAAAAGGTTTTGCCTTCTGGTACGCGACCTCGTCGAAGTATCAAATCTCTTGCGGCTAGCCGTCGCAGAACGATGATGGGCCATTTCAAGGCCTGACAAATCCACATTATTTTCCCGACAGACCATGAAATTTTTCGCTGTATCAACCTGTCGGGAAAATAATGAGCACTCTGTTGCATCGAAAATCGCATCGCCGTCGAGAAAGTTGCGTCGCGGCAAATCTTTTCAGTGACGGGCTCAACGCAACGACATTGCTCTCTATATTTTCCCGACAGACTGATACATAACGACAAATTTCTTACAAAAAATGATCAAAAAAAAAACGATCTGTTGAATTTTTCCAACAAAAAAAATTACAAACAAATCCTTACTCCAGCATATAAGTGATGGCGTTAAGTTCATCCTCTTCAATTTCGACTCTAAGCTTTTGCGGCAGCAACTTCAACTCCGCCACTTCCATGTAATAATTCAGCGCCGTGTACACGGTGTACAGCGTGCTGAAGACGGCGTAGATGACAAAGGTGATGATGTAGCACACTTCGTTCGACGAGAGCATTCTGAAAAAATGTGTTTTTGCTAAATCTCATTAGCCTTGGATTTATCTCGAAATTATGCAAAAGAAATAAAGGGAAATTTGGATTGGTCAACAAAAATAAATAGAGAATGCCAAGACATGATTGGGTATTTTAGATGTTTTTGCTTCTAAACAGCTTCAGATTGGAGTATTTACTTATGTATATTGACATGATAATATGGATAAAAGATAAGGTAAAGTTATGTACAAAAAGTGGACATAAGTCTCCGCCAAGTCTCCGCGGAGCCTTCGCCGATCGTCCGCCGACCATCCAGCGGCTTTCATAGGCCTTCTACAACCTTTTTTTGGGCATAGTTTACGGTTGAATTGCGCCCTCTTCCAAAACAGGCCGTTAAAGAAGACAAATACAGTAAATGCACTTCTTATAGTTAGGAAAATGCCCTTAGGAAATCGAAGATCAAAAAACAAGAAGCTTTTTAAAACGAACGCTATAATCTTTGATAGTAAGTTCTTTAATTACTGATAAATTATCAGTTCCAAAACCGCTATATCCAAGAAATTTTCGAAAAATAAGACCTCCTAAATTTGATCCGCAAAGTTTAGAACGAAAAATCAGCCTCAAAAAAAAATTTCAAAAAGAAGCAAATTTTGTTACCCCTCAAAAGCCTCCTCCGACTTCCCTCGATGAACATACGTGTCTGCGGCCAGCCACGCTGCTCTTTATCATGCACGTTTCGCCGTCTCTCGGTCATCTGACGGCGATAAGAGCGGGGAGAAAAAAGAAGGCTGAATTGGAGAACGAACCGCTTTTTCGGTTATATTGTTCTGGTTATAAAGTGGTTCGGAAAATGCGCTGTGAGATGATGTCAAATGATTTTGTATGGGAAAAAGAAAAGATAGAGCTGTTTTTAGCGATGAGAATTTTGGGAGTTTTGGGTTACGGTAGGTGATGATATCAGATGACGGGCAAATAATGAGTAAAATTTCGCTGACAATCGTGTCGTTGATGTGAAAAGCGATTTGATTTTGCTGCGATACAATTCATTTCCTCGGCGGCGATGCTAAGGGTGCTTATTATTTTCCCGACAAACTGATATTAGCTTTTTATAAAGTGTGTAGACTTTGCGTCGAGCGCCGTACTCTGCATGAAAAATGTCATTTGCACAATGCATTTGATTTTTCAAAAAAAACCGCTGCAACGTAAGATCTTTTCCATTGCGCCGCCGCGAAATTTGTGCCCGCGAAAGACAATTTCACAATGAAAAAATGTTTTGAAGAAGAAAGCATTGGGCGGAAAAAGCGAAATGCACCGGCAAAAGTCTATGCACTTTGTGGAAATGGTAGTAGAGCAGGAGATTTGGATCCATATCTCTCCGAAAGTTTTAGATTTTTTCAGTGCGTGCTGATTAGCAACAAGGATACAAACCGGGATATCAGTCTGTCAGGGAAATAACAGCGGGTCGTCGCAGCAAAATGCTTCGCCTCGTCGAAAAAAGGGAGCTGTCACGGGGAAAAACGCTTTTGGGCCATTACTCGGGCAGTTTGAAGCAAAACAGTTTTTCTGGATCAATCTGACGGGAAAACAACAAGCACCTTGTCGCATCAAAAATCGCACGAGAAAATGAATTGTGTCGCGGCAAAATCAAATTGCTGACAGACTGATATCTGCTCGACAAACAGTAGCTGTAAGGTTCGTTTTCAAAAAAATTGGAGAAAAATCAAAACGTCTGCCGCTTTTTGCTATGTTCGCAGAGATCGAGTTATAAGTTATAAACAAATTTTGGTCACACACTACAAATGATTAGGGATGCTTATGGTAAATAAAAACAATTTTTTACATGTATTGTTTTTTCGGAAATGATTTATCATATGCTTAAAGGGCCTGTACAGCTACTTTGAAAAGCGATTTTCTCGGCTTGGGGTGGCTTTCTAATATATCGTTTGTTTTCGTGGCGGGACGCACTGACAAACTCGGTGCGATTTTTTTGGATCCAAGATGAAGAATATTACGTGTATAACGTACATTGTTCAACGAAATATGGCGCCAATTTGTAGTTTTTGTGTGGAGAATGGGTAAGTTGTTGTTTTGAAAAATTTTTGGGTTGATTTTTAGGCATTTTTGATGTTGGGGATGCTTTTTGAAGACTTTGGGATAAATTATAAGGTAAAATAGGTTTTATGAAGTGGAAGAAGGATAAACTTATCCTAGAAGGTTTTGTTTCTGAGTGGGTGAAGTTATTTTGAATACTCTACATTGTTTTTGACAGATTCATGAATTTTTGATATTATTTTAGGTAGAAATAAGTGGAAAATGCGTCGTAATGTTGCGTATATGCCTTTCCGTTCACAATTAGATCATTTTATAGACTGGCAAAGTTACTCGGGGCTTTTATTTGCTGTTTTTAGTTCTTTCTGTTTTGAATTTTTGCATTTCATTGTTCATGATTGTCCTTGTTTTCCAGAAATTCCAGTTGCCAGAAGTCAATCGTCTCCTAAAGAAGAAGGCAAGATGCTAAATGGTCCAGAACCCCTGTGGTTTCCAGCAAAGTTGCACCACCGAACCTGAATCATGAGCTTCAGACGATGCCTTGTTTGCCCTCTTGCATCTTGGATTGAGGAGATTCACCTTTTTTCTATCATGTTGACCTTTTTCAAGAATTTATCCATAAATTATTCAAGTTTAATGTGGGATAATAACGAGATCAATCAACGGTTATGAAGCGGTGTTCCTCGGGGTTATCACGGCAGTTGGGGTGGTTAGAAGTAGAATTGACACTTCTGAAACGACATGTGTAATATAAGTTTACATCAAAAAAGTTATGTGCTTCTTCAAACTTATCACGAAGTTCCTAAAAGCCAAAGAAAAATGTCAAATGAACTTACAATGTGATGCGTTTTTCGGCTAATATTCCACCTTCCTCGTTGTCTTTCTTCAAGGGAAAGAGTTTTTGAACACCTTTCTGATTAGCGGGCCCTCGTTGGCCCGGCGTGTCTTGAACTCCTGCATGGTCTGCTGTTGTTCAGCCTTCCACTAACCAAGAGTGCGCTTTGGGGGCTTCTTCACTTCCGCAACAACCAGTTTTACCTAAAATAATATCAAACATCCATGAATCTGTCAAAAACAATGTAGAGTATTCGAAATAACTTCACCCACTCAGAAACAAAACCTTCTAGGATAAGTTTATCCTTCTTCCACTTCATAAAACCTATTTTACGTTATAATTTATCCCAAAGTCTTCAAAAAGCATCCCCAACATCAAAAATGCCTAGAAATCAACTCAAAAATTTTTCAAAACAACAACTTACCCATTCTCCACACAAAAACTACAAATTGGCGCCATATTTCGTTGAACAATGTACGTTATACACGTAATATTCTTCATCTTGGATCCAAAAAATCGCACCGAGTTTGTCAGTGCGTCCCGCCACGAAAACAAACGATATATCAGAAAGCCACCCCAAGCCGAGAAAATCGCTTTTCAAAGTAGCTGTACAGGCCCTTTAATGAAAAATGTATGATAAAAGAGACGACAAAGGATTGTGAAAAAACAAAGTGTACCTTGCACTGTGCAATTTGCTCTTAGGCTTGCAAAGTCTGTTTTATGTCCACATTTGGCAAAAAAAAATTTTCTAGTCCTTCAGGAAAGTCGCTGGACACAATTTCTTGCTTTTTGAAGTCGCTCACCGAATTTCCTATTTTACAAAGCGATAATACGAGATTCCAATGCACGATGACCCGACAGACTGAGAGTAAGGAAATGACAAGCCTCTCCGAACCCACCTACACTAAATATCCGTTCCGCAACATCAAAAACAAAAACGGAACTTTTGAAATTTAGAATTAAAGAATTAGGGTTAGCTGCAAAAGAATGTCAGATGAAAGGCTTCTTTGCAGCCTCGCGGAAACATCGACTTAACTTGTTTTCCACTTTCAAAGATTGTACTGTTTTTACGCTTTGTTTACAACGTTCTTCGAAGCTATAATAAAATGAAAAATAGGGGGTGTTCTAGGAAGAAACATTGCATGACCTTTGCAACGTGTCTTGCGGCAATCACAAACCATAGGGTCTAGTGTTTGAAAATAGAACGACCAGAGTGTGAAGAAATTTTGTGATGAAACTTAATATTTCTTGTCGAAAATAAACCTGGCTATCGTTTCAGTATCAGTCTGTCGGGAAAATAATGAACACTCTGTTAGATCGAAAATCGCATCGCCGCCGAGAAAATGAATTAATGATGTTTGTTATTGCGGTAAAATCAAATAGCTTTTTACTTCAGCGACGCGATCGGAGTAGCGACATTGGGCTCATTATTTTTCTGACAGACTGAAACTGAAGTGATATGACATTGGATTGTTTCAAATATAAAGTTAAGAGATCTTGTAGGAAAAGAGGAAAAATCAATAAGAAAAAAAAGAAGAGTACGTAAAACGCAGAGAGCGGTCAGAGAGAAAAACACTTTTTGGCCATAACTTTGCCAGTTTCGTGCGGAAAAAATGGGTTTTATGGAGACGTATGTCTTTGCATAGCGTGAGCGGGGCGAATGCAATAGCGATATGACGTCATCAAGCCGAGCCCTTATCTATAAAAAAGTGCAAGCCTACTGCACTGCACTGATCGGCTACGCCTACAATGCGCGAGATAGCACATTCAGAAATTGATATTTGACCCATGCCCAACGCGTGTAAAAAATAAAAAAAAATCTCACTTGATGTACTTCCCTTGTAAATCCAAGCTAGCCTTGACCTTTTTATTTATCAAAATAAAAAATCTCCCGTATAAAAAAAAACCTGATGAACTCAACCTCTAATCCCCCATTGAATTCCGCCCAAAAAAACCAGTTCAATTTTTCGACGCAAACATCAATGACCGCAATTACATATATCTCTTCAAGGTTTTTTCAAACTGAAAACTCTCCCATAAATTCATCCCCAGAGTGAAAAAACAGCAAAGATTGAGAAAAACGCGATCGTAAAAACGTTTAGGACTTTTATAGAAACAAAGTGAATGGAAGGTCAGTAAAAATTGATTGGGTATAAGAAAACGAGCGTAGATAAAGGAGAACACTTTGAGCTTTTGTATCAAACAAATACAAAGTACAACGAATGATCTGAGACGAATTATTGCGTTATAAATTCTTCGCAATTTATAAGCATGGCTTCGAGCCGGATTTTCCAGCTCGGGGAAACGACTCGGATTGTAGCCAGAGATTGCCACGGCTCCGGAGCCGGCTCTTGGCTCCGGCTCTGAGCGGCTCCGGCTCCCGAGCCCAAAGTCGGAGCCAGGCTTCCCAGCGGTCAGAAAAGTAAAAGTTTCGTGATCTTGTTAAACCAAATTGCTTGAAAAAACACTGCGGAGGATGTGATTTGGCTGCAAAAACGTTGGCTGTATGATCTCTGGCACTAAGAAATTTTACTTTTGAAAAAAATGTTTCAAAAAAATTTTGCATAGGAGCCGAGGTTCGGAGCCGGAGACGTTTTTTAAATTTTGCACGGAGCCGGGAGCCGGAGCTGCAAATTTGGCCTCGGCTCCGGCTCTGGGAGCTAAGAGCCGGAGCCGGAGCCGAAATTTTGACCGTGGCAATCTCTGATTGTAGCCATGCTTGGTTGAGATTGGCATAGGGCATTTATCTTGGGGCAGGTCCGGCGACAGTGGCTGACCCGATCAAGTGGCAATACCGTACCATTTTACATCCGGGAAGTATCGAAAAATGCGGCAAAATACCTCCTTCTCCAAGTGAAAAAACTCCGATTTCAAAATGGTCTTTTGGTGAGGGAAAAAACGCCCCCTTCAAAACGGAGTTTTTCAGTTGGAGATTGATGCATTTTGCTACATTTTTTGCTATTTTCCGGAAGCAAAGTGCAACGTTTTTTGCCACTGGATCAGGACCTTCACTGTAATCGACGCGGCTGGTAAAAGCAAATCTAGGGCCCGAAAAATCCTAAAACATATAGAATTTCCCCACAAAACTTCAAAAACGAGCGAATGGCGTGACAAAGCGAAAAATCGTTAAGTTCCAGACCCAAAAAAAGAGTAAGAATAACACAGAACCCGCTCCAACACCCCTGCCCTTTAGGTGATTATAAAAGACACAATTTCTCCCGCACAAAAAGGAGGCTCCCAATGACGGCTGACCTTTGCGCTGTTTTTGGAAAAAACAAATTAAATTAAACCTTCGAGAAATTTAAACCTTTCCGCACAAGGGTCATTTCGATTGTAATGGATGAACAAGCTGAGCTGACAAGTCCAAACTGCAAGGTTCTGTGCAATGAGCATGTAATCAGAGAGGGTTTTGAAAGTAGGCAAATTTGCGGAAACGCACGTTTTGTTTTGAAATTCAGACCAATTCGAGAGGTTCTCGAAGAATAGATCGTATATGGTTGGGACTGAAAAATCTTTATGGTTCAAAAAATAGGACATGGTGACAGCGGTTAAAAATGTGTCAGTGTTAAAAACAATGGCTGTGTATGACTATTGGTACTCTCCAGAACACGTCAAAACAATTCGTGCGTTGAAAAGCTTCTGCCGCAAAAAACCCAAATTCCAGAAAATCCGTCATCCAAATTACGGATTAGCGGACACACAATAATTTACTATAATACATAAATAAGGCCCGAATCACTTATTTTCTTCAATCTAAAAGAAATTTTAAGTCCAACTTTATTAGTTTTATTAGCCACAAGTTATTAGGGGATTAAAAAATTCTGTATAAAGAAATCTGTATCTCGTTCAGGCTCGTTCTCTTCCCCGTCTTCTCATATAGAACTGCTTACTGAACGTCTTCGTTCCGTAGACCTTGATTGGCACATGACTTGCCCTAGTGGTCGTTGTAGCCTCTGTAGTGGTCGTAGCGAGCAATGGTCCAGTGACATAGCCATTAGCGTTATCTTTTGTTATCTCAACACCAGTAACTACCTCATCTCTCTCCTCCCTCGGGCAGTGTTCACACGATCCCTTGACTCCGGGGATTCCCGGAGCTCCTCGTGGGCCCTGCTTTCCCGGCAATCCATTACTGCCACGCTCGCCGATCTCGCCAACCGAGCCGCGTGGACCTTTGTCGCCGGGTGCTCCATCCACGCCCGGTTTTCCGACTCGACCACGGGGTCCCATTTGCCCGGGTGGACCGGGCGGGCCTTGTGGAGAGCCGATGATCACCCGTCCCGGATCACCTTGGGGCCCGGTGAAGCCGGGAGCGCCTGGAGTGCCGGCTGGGCCGACAGGGCCGGGCTGGCCACGAGGGCCCGGATTTCCCGGGATTCCTGGCTGGCCTGGATGGCTGAAAATTATGTTAGTCATTTCTTGACTTCATTTTTACTGGTCGTGTTAGTTGTAAAATACGCCATAATCTCCCATACGTGAGCATACGATATGACCTTGTATGGGAGAAATAAAAAACGATATTTTTTAGTGATGAGAAATTTGGGTTACGATATCAGTCTGTTGGGAAAATAATGAGCATGAATTCGGGTCGAAAACCGCATCGCCGCCGAGAAAATGAATTGTGTCACAGAAAAATCAAATTGCTTTTAGGTTTCAGCGAAGCGATGTGATATTGTGCTCATTATTTTCCCGACAGGCTGCTATCCTTTTTTTACACTAAGGATGTATAGACTGTATAAACCTACCCAGCCGGTCCTCGTTCTCCTTTCAGCCCCGGATATCCTGGAGGTCCAACCATCGCCGGAGGGCACTGAAAAATGCGGAATAAGAGACTGATTATTATGTCGACTTATTTTATTCTATAAAACATGACTCACTTTTTGACAGGGTTCTTGTGCAATTAATTCGGCGGAGAGATAGATTCCAGGCCGACCGTTGCGTCCGGGTGGCCCGCATTCACCAGGTTTGCCGTCTTTTCCCGGCTTTCCTGAGCGACCAACAGGTCCGCGAGGCCCTTGTTGGCAAGTGCAGCCTAAATAAAGATACGATTTATAGTGATGCGGAATGCAGAAGGCGTAGTTGATGGGCAACATGGAGAACTTACATGAAGAGCCCACCCATTTCTCGGCTCTTTTTGGCCGGTTTCTGGAGAACCTCGGCAATTCAGTCCATAAAGACTTGGCTTCCGTCTGAAAATGGATACAAGATAAACCAAAACATTGTTCGATCAAAAAATATCGTATTTACTGTAAGCCTGTCGGAAAAATAATGAGGACAATGCGGCTGCGCCAATCGTGTCGCTGAAGTGAAAAGCGATTTGATTTTGTCGCGACACAATTCTTTTTCTCGGCAGCAATTGCGATTTGCGATGCGACAGAGGGTTCATTGTCTTCCCGAAAGACTGATAGGTGGGCCAAAAAGTCTTGACAGGTCTGCATAGTGCGCCGTCGCACGAAAATCTCGTCGCACGGCTACGAGTAAAATTCATGATGCAAGCCGTGCATCTTACTCGAACTATGAAGCCCGGTGACCAGAATATACTCTTCGCTATAGGGTTTATGCCTTGTTTTGATTTCATAGAAAAGTTAGAGAAAAGACGCGCAAAACGTACTCTCTCGCCTAAAAAATTCCCCATTTCTTCGCCGGCAAAAAGATTTTTTACGGGTTTTTTTTGCCAAAATTGCCGATCTATTCTTTATATTCCGCTCACCAATTATTTGGTCCACTTACTTGACAATACTCTATATTCTCCAGTAATTGAGTATTTCGCTTTTGAACATGAAGCAAAGCCAGTGGAATGACAAGAATGACCGTTATCAGGGTCAAGGTCGAAATGGCGGTGGTGACGATCATAAGCGCGCGATCGCGCTTCAGAGAGTCGTACATAATCGCGACGGAAAAGGCAAATGAAGTCGATTTGAATATTCTAATTTCCGCGCGTAATTTAGGTCAGATTTGGGCGGAGAAAGACGAAGAAAAATTTATAAATTTATCTTTATTCCATCTAAACAAAACGTGTAGTATGTACATAACAGCGACTATGATGACATAATCAAGTGATCGGCGTCCCACTACAAAGACTTCCGTTGTTGGCGCTGAGGTTGGTGAAGCTGTTCTCTCGCTGGTTGTTGTTGTTGTTGCAGTTCATTGAAGCCAACTTGGGAGCGTCGGAGAAGACCGACGCTATCGCATTCCGGCGTTGGGTATTTGCGGCTTCAAGGACTTGTGCGTGACGACGAACTTGTAGACGGACCTAAAATTTTAAAAAGTTAGAGTTCGGAAAAAATTCCGAGATATTCAACCATCTTTGAGGCCGAGAGAGTGGGCAAAATGTAGAGTACGAGAATGCGGTCAGAGAGAAAAACACCATTTTCGATATCTCTGCTTATTTTGTGTGAAAAAAAATATTGTTTTGTGGAAATATGACCCTCTACAGTACAGGGTGTTTCAAGAAAGTTTGGACAATTTTTTTGTTATATCTTGGTGCTGTTTACAGCTATCTAAGAGGTCGAAGTCGTATTTAAAATTTGAATTTCTGCATTTTTACAATATGCAAAAGAATTTTCTCCTCTCTCGGCGGAGAGGCCATTTTCGGCGGAGACATTTGATGTATTTTTTTGAAAATTACTCCTTGTTACAACGCCCAGTAATTTCTACTGCGGATTAAATTTGGTTTGCCACGGCTGGCAGGATCTGATCTATTAGTTTCGGTAGCTTGGCGGATGTCTCGTACATTAGCTAAAGCTCGGCGGAGACTTTTTCAAAGGCCGTTTTGGGGACCTTGTCAAAAAAAAGCCGTTTTGGGGACCTTGTGAAAAAACGTCAGATTTTCATCACTTTCTTGGATTAAAAATCTCAAAATCTTGTACGACAGACCCTCTTATAAATAGCTTTTTGCTCACCTGTTCCACCGGCAATACCCGCCTTCGCTTCTTTGGCAGCTTCTCTCTGGCCTGAGAGTGCGAATAAAACATGGAGAAGTTGCTGACGATAACCGGGACAGGCAATGCGACTAAATTGAGAATAAAATTTAACCTGAATGAATAACTCACTGGTTAGCACTCCCATAATGGCACAGAGTCCGCCGATCAGCCTTCCCAGATATGTGTGAGGTACCATGTCGCCAAAACCAACCTGAAAAAAAACATAATTTATTATTATGGACCTGATCCAGTGGCAAAAAACGTACAATTTTGCATCCGGGAAGTATATAAACTATAAAAAAAAAATAGTATTTTTTCAACCGCCTGATCAAGCCCGCCATTGTAGAAAGTGTAAAGAGAATGGTTCAAAGTTAGTCCTCGCGGTCCTGTAAACACTACTAAGCATCAAAAAAATTACCGTAGTAAAAGTGATGATGCTGAACCACAATCCCTCCGGAATACTGTGGAATTGATTGTGCGGATTGACCTGCGTCTTCTCCGCGTAATAAATCAACGTCGCGAAGATGACAATGCCCAGCACAAGGAAAAAGACGAGCAGGAACAGCTCTTTGGCCGACGCTCTGAATGTGTGGATCAGGATCTGCAGTCCTCGATGATGTTGGGTCAATTTGAACAGGCGAAGAATCCGAATCATCGACAGGAATTCCATGACGTCTTTTGGGGCCTCGTTGCGCAATATCCGCACCATGATCATGTCGAGGTAATAGCTGAGCGTTGAGATTAGATCGATGATATTTAGGGGGTTCTTGCAGAACTTTGTCCGGCTCGGGCAGAAAAAGAAGCGGACGCAAATTTCGAACGTAAACCACACGTTGCAGATAAGTTCGATCTAAAAAAGAGGCATGTAATTATAGGTATATTCCTTGGAAGAAAAAATCTAAATTTCAATATCAGCCTGTCGGGAAAATAATATGGATTTTTCGCGCCTTGAAATCCTCCCATCATCGCTTTGCGAGGGCTATCCGCGGCTTTAGATTTGATGCGCGACTGCAAGAATCGAGACATTTTGCTTGCTACGACAAATCCACATTATTTTCCCGACTGACTGATATCAGCCCGTTGGGAAAATAATGAGCCCAATTTCTCTGTACAAATCGCGTCGCTGAAGGGAAATGCAATTTGATTTCGAGGCATTTCAAAATCCACATTATTTTCCCGATAGACGAATTGCTATTCCCAAAACCTTTTGCCTCAATTTCAAACTCGAACTCACCACCCAGAAAATGGTCATAGGCTCCGTCCCAACCCTCGATATTCGATAGAACCCATTCATGACTTCGCTGTGATTCTCGTAGGCCAAACTGTACACCCGGAAACTGGGATGGGTCTTCAAACAAAACGAAACAATCGACGTAACAATAAAGAAGACACTGACGGCGGCTACCATCTGAAAAAAGGGAGGTTAAAATACGCTGATGAGGGCAAATTGTACATGTCCTGAAATTATTTTTCTATGAAACCTTGGGCCAATTTTCGCCCACATACCGACTTATTAGATTAGAGTTGGTTATTGTGCAAACTACGAAGTAATTTAGATACTAATATTAGCACTTCATACTATATAGTATGAGGTAAAATTAGGTCAAAAAATCTTTCTGCGGTTGGTTTGATAACCAGTACCGTACAAAAAAACATTTTTTCAAGACTTCGTACTATATAGTACGAGGTGGTACTATTCAATACAGGGTGAAAATTAGACCTTAAATTATTATTATAATGATGTTGTTTTGATACCCAGCACTAATCAAAAAGTTCATTTCTAACAAAAAAATTTCGTACTATGTAGTACAAAGTCCTAGGACATGATTTTGCGAAGTTATGAAAAAAATTACTTATCAGACTGTCGGGAAAATAATGAGAATTTGTCGCAGCAAAATTTTTTGCCTTGTCGAGAAAGGGGCCAAATTTAAAGCTGCAGCTAGCCGTCGCAAAGCGATGATAGGCGATTACAAGGCGCGACGGACCGCCATTATTTTCCCGACGGACTGATATAGTATTAGTGTTTTGATAAAGTGCACGGACATTTTTCACGTCCCGCACTATAAGCATAAACCCCACATTTTTCTGCACGGTACCTTTCATTTCAATTTTTTTGTTTTGATACTCGCACTGTACATCGAAATATCGCTGCGATCTTGGACTTGCACAACGCTAAAGGTCAAAAGCACGCCGAGAAAAGGGTTTTGTGCATGCTGCCGCCCAGGACAAAGAGTCCACACAGTTTTGAAAAATCGTAATAAGAAACCATTGTCTTGCCTTCGCCGCCGTCGACGAATACGGCTCGTCAAACAACGCCCACACTCTGGGCTTGATCTTCATCCACGGAGTCACTTGGCCCGAATACAAATGCTCCTCCCAGCCAAATTTGCGCATCATGATTTGCTCAAATTCCTGGGGGTTATCTTCGGCGCTACACGAGTTTTCCAGCTTGTCCAGCACCGCCAAAGTTTCCTGAGTGTCTCTAAATTTGGGAGGTAAAATACGCTGCCTCCAATGTTACCTGTGTTGTGTGTAGGTCATCCAACAACAGGGCTCCACCTGATTGGCATCCAGCCCCCAATACTCCAGCTCCTCTTCGAACAGGGGCCCACAAACTGAGGTAGGGTAGTGGAGTTTACCGGTACGATAATAGTTTAGAATCTGAAAGAAATGTAGTCAAAGGTGTGAAATATAATATCAGTCTGTCGGGGAAATAATGAGCCCTCCGCCGCATCGAAAATCGCATCGCCGCCGATAAAATGAAATGTATCGCGGAAAAATGAAATTGCTCTTCATTTCAGCCGCGCCTGGCGTAGCAATGTTTATACTCATTATTTTCCCGACAGGCTGATAACTTGTGCTTTTTTTGTCTATTCTGCTTCAACCTGGGCTAAAAGGTTGAAGCAGCCAAAACCGCCGAGATTTTAAGACCGATAGGATCGACATAAAAAGTATAATATTATGCCTACTTCTACCGTATAGGGTAGTGTTTTTAAATCATCTTTTTTTCTGCGAAAAGAAAGACCTGCCAAAAAAGTGTCTTCGGCCGAGACACTTTCTCCTCGGTTGACGGATTTTTCGGTCGTAAAGATCGTTCAAAGCGCCTGCAAAACGCGAGCTAACAAGATTATCTGAAGTTGATGTGTACCCCTTCAGACGCCTGGGTTTTAATTTTACGACCAATTTGATACTTGCCTCAGGTTTTTCAATTCTCTCAGTCTGTCGTCGGGAAAATAGTGAGCATAATGTCGCTGCGCCAATCGCGGGTGAAAATTGATTTGAATTTGCCGCGACACAATTCAATTTTCTCGGCGGCGATGTGATTTTTGCTGCGACAAAGTGCTCATTATTTTCCCAACAGACTGATATATAAAATTGCACTTCACAAAAACGCTAGAAAAAGATTGTATTTTACTTGTGCTTTCGCCGGGCTTTGTAGGCGCCGGGCTTTGTAGGTACCTTTTACTCTGCCCTACCTGTTCAAAAACAATCCCGCCATGTCGATCAAAGTAATACTCGTTCAGAAGCGGGTCAAAGTTGGCCTGCGCAGGCGTTAGCCGGGACAGTCGTGTGGCAGGGATCTTCTTCAGCGTGGCTTGATACGTTTCATGGCGGATGCCGCCCACATTCAACACTACTCGTTCGTCCATCGAAGGCACCGGGGAAGCTGAAAAAAGTCGTTGAAAACGGTAGTTGAAATGAGTCATAAAAAGTACTTGAACTGAGTCATCAAAAGTCGTTGAAAATGGCCATTGTTTCTGGCCCTATTACATCACATGGGCCAATTAATTGAAGGTTATTCATCCAAAAATAACACGGAATTACGAGGCCCGAAGAGAGCAGGAGTTTTTGTGGTGGAAAAACAGGACTCTGCGGTAATTACGGGGAGTTTCATTGGGACCAAAGTTGGCGAGAAGTCTCACAAATTCTAGTTGTAAGAAAGCCGAGTAATATTGAGACGGCAATTGGAAGGTGGCTGAGAGAGAGAGAGGAAAGGCGAAAACTGTCAGTCATAATTTTGTATTTGTGATGTAATTGCGTGTTGGTGGGCGGCCACAAACAACAATGACCAAGGGAAATGCAATTAAGTGCTAGGGCGGCCAAAATAAACGCATAATGCAAGAAGGCAAAAAAACAAATTATCCGTCTGTCGGGAAAATAGTGAGCACAAGTTGCGCCAATCGTTGAAGCAAACATTAATTTGATTTTTCCGCAACACAATTCAGTCTGGCGATGCGATGTCCGTTGCGACAGAGTGCTCATTATTTTCCCGACAGACTGATACTATTACATAGCAAAACCTGCCTATAGCGAACAATTTTTAAGGCGTCAAAAATCGTCTTTAGCTATTATTTTCCCGACAGATTGATATGGCAAACGCACAGTGCATTTTGAACCTTTTCCCATGTTTGTCGCTAGCGCACAGTGCATTTCTATTTTCCACCTTTTCGCACAGTGCATTTTGAACTCTTTCCCACGCTTGTCGCTAACGCACTGTGCATTCCACTGTGCACAAAGAGGCGTTTGTGCACGGTTCGTGGCGCGAAAAAAGCATACGTCGCGACGATATTTTGAAGCACGGTGCAAAATCATGCCAAAAAAAGGTAAAATGCAGGGTGCAAAATTTGTACTTTTTTGCCCAGCGACAAAAAGTCTACGCACTTTGAGAAAAAATACAATTGCAGTCTTAACCTATAGTCTTTTCATAAAGTGCACGGACATTTGTCGGGGTCCGTAATCTACACAGAAAACCCCTCCATTTTGCACCGTGCATTTTTTTTTTTTTTTTTTTTTTTTTGGCTTTGCACCGTGCATTTTCGAAAAATCGCCGCGATAAGCCAAATTGTGTCGCTGCGGGGTTTTGCTGAAGAATTTGCACAGTGCAAACAGCTTTTTTGTGGTTTGCACGGTGCGAAAGGAGAAAATGCACTGTGCATTGGCGACAAGTGCGGGAAAAGGTTTGAAATGCACTGTGCGAAAGCGGAAAAATATCTATGGACTTTATGAAAATACTATATAATATATGTATCTACCTTGCACATGTCTTAAAAATTTTATCAGTTTGTCGCAAAATTAATCGCTAAAGTTGATTTTTGGGGTCTCTCTCTACCCCTTTTCTGAACTCTCCCCCCTTTTTCAACTCTCCCCCTTTTTGAACTTGCCCCCTTCAGAACTCTCCCCCTTTTTGAACACTCCCCCTTGAATGAACCCTCCCCTTTTTTGAACACTCCCGCTCATTTTGAAAATTGAAAAAATGAGGTGTGACATCTTATACGATGAATTTTTCAAATTGAAAAGAATTTTCATCGTATAAGATGTCACACCTTATTCTTTTCAATTTGAAAAAAAAAATTCCATCGTATAACGTGCCACACCTCGTTTTATCAATTTGAAAAAAATTTCCATCGTATAACATGTCACACCTCGTTTTTTCAATTTTCAAAATGGGGGAGTGTTCAAAAAGGGGGAGAGTTCAGATTTTTTGGCGAAAATCAAAAAAAGGGGTAAAGTTCAGCCTTTTTTGGGGTAGAGTTGAAAAAGGGGTAGAGTTCAGATTGGGGGAAAATTCAGAAAAGGGGGAGAGTTCAGACTCAACCCCTATTCGTACTAAAACTTTTCGAAAAAACGGAACGTCATTTCGTGTATGCAACAGCCAACAATACTCTTTTCCTTCCATGCTACCAGACTTTCTTTCGTCGTTTTTTTTTGTTGAATAACCCAATACAAAGCGCGCTGCAGGCGTTCATTAGCGAAATTACCGGAATTCGAATTGAGTCGGGCAATTATTCGGGGGCGCGGGGAAATTTTCGCCTTTTCCTCGCCCCCTGTTTTGCGCGTTTTTTCCGACGGAAATTCCCTCAGGAAACGACAATAAGCACCGGAAATGAGGTTAGATGGAGGAGTTGTCGCAAAACTTGGCCATATTTTGGCGACAATACCCTTTGAATTTTGATTTTTGACGTCTCAAACGAACGGCGGCGCCTTCTTTTGTTCGGGAGTTGCAAAAAAGACGGCGGAAAATTGCCGGATTCGCTTACCGTCAAGTGTTTTCGAAGCCAAAGTGGTGCGATTCGGCCGCAAAAATGTTCCCGAAAAAAGGCCAAAATTGCACTTTTATGCAAAACATATTAGCCGGTTGTTTTGAAGAGCTTGGAATGCTTAAAGTGGACGCTTTTCAGGCCCGATAAAAGGCGGTTCCAAATTTCGGGTAAAAAATAAAAAAAAAAAAAATCCAAGTGCGGTTACAGTGCGGTAAAAAAGCGGAGAGCTGCCATAGAGAAAAAAAATTGGGGAAATCCTTGCCAGTTTCGTGGAGGAAAAAGATGATTTTTTTGGAAAAACTACTCTCTACACTAAAAATAACTATGAAAGTTTTCATGACAAAATTGAACGTCGAACCTAGACATGGCTCGTCGGCCGGCCCGGGCCGAAAATCTTGGCCCGGCCCGTCGGCCTGAAGGGTTCCGGCCGGCCCGGCCCGTTTCAAATTTTAACCAAATTTTTTTCTATCATCATGTAAATGGATAAATACTGTGTTCCATAGCTATCTAAAAACAAAATTACCTTTAAAAAAACCAAATGTGTCTTGACATTTCGTTTATTTTCATTATCAAACCCAATTTTAGCTTCGAGATTCTGGATTTTAACTATTCCGGGCCGGGCCGGGCCTAAACGCCGGCCCGGCCCGCGGAAATGGTCCGGCCGGCCCCGGCCGACCTGAAATCCGGCCGACGGGCCGAAATTTCGGCCCGGCCCGGGAGCCATGTCTAGTCGAACCTGAGGTAGCTGCCAGAGATTGCCACGGACAAAATTTGCGGCTCTGGCTCCGGCTCCCGTGCGAAATTTAAAAAACTTCCCGGCCCCGGCAATAGCTCCCGCGCCAAAAATAAAATTTTCTTTCCAAAAATAAAAGTGATTAGTGCGAAAGATCACACACCCGACGTTATTGAACCTTGTGGCGGACCTGAACCATTGGCCAAAAACGTACCATTTTGCATCCAGGAAGTATCAAAAATGTGGCAAAATACCTCCCTCTCCAAGTGAAAAAACTCCGATTTCAAAAGCGCGCCCACTCTTTTTGTGAGAGAAAGGGCGCGCAGTTCAAAACGGAGTCTTTTTTTAGTTGGAGAGGGAGGCATTTTGCCACAGTTTTAATACTTCCCGGATGCAAAATAATACGTTTTTTGCCACGGATCAGGTCCCTCACTGTAGCATACATACTCTAAATTTTTGCCATACGCAATTTTTATATGTACAAAAAAAATTAAAAAATCTCGGATTTTTCGCAATCTCCATCTTCCTACAAACTGCAAGCTAAATACCCAAATTTCGCTTAAAAAATATATTGCACTTGCATGGCAAAAGTTCAAATGCACGCCACAAGGGGTTTGTGAGGCCCATGGCAAAAAGTCTATGCACTTTCTGCAACCACTAGTAGTAGCGGGGCCAAGAAGTCTTGACATAAAATTTAGGGAGCGCTACAGCCCCGCACAATGCGAAAATATGTCAAAACGTTTTGGCCGGCCTCATACAAAATGCCAGACGAGTTTTTTCGTCATCATAAAAAATCTGAAGATTGACCTACTAGTGGCTTGGCGGGACTAAATCCCATTTGGCTTAAGTATACGACCTCAAAAACAAAAGCCATTAGATTAACATCGTCTTGAACGAATCGTGTATAGAACTTGTTTTCTCCTCTGGCCATATGGCCAAAGAGAAATCTCCGGAAATGCGAAAAGTCTCCCTTGAGGACGAGTTTGAGGGTTTCTGAGTGGGGTAAAAGTGTAATGGAGGTGAAAATTGGTAGTAATGATGATAAATTGTAGATAATACATATAACGTGTGTATGCGGAAATGTCAAAAGATACATTTAAGATTGGCTACAAATGTCTTACGGACAAAATAGAGAGCGAAAAAATTTTGTTTGGATGACAGTCAGCAAACTCGGCGTACCGAGAACCTCTTCATACTATTACCTCTTCATATTAATACATATGGCCGGGTTTTCTGCGTTTCTAGGCCCTAGAGTGGGGGACCTCATCCAGTATCAAAAAACGTGCCATTTTGCATCCGGGAAGTATCAAAAATAAGATAAAATGCTTCCCTCTTCAAGTGAAAAAAACTCCGATTTCAAACGCTCTTTTTGCGAGGGAAAGGCCGCGGCCTTCAAAACGAAATTTTTTTCACTTGAAAAGGGAAGCATTTTTCCATATTTTTGATACTTCCCGGATGCAAAATCGTGCGTTTTTTGTCACTGGATCAGGTCCCCACTGTATGTTGTGTGTGTGTCAGCATATAGTGGTGAAAGCCACTACCCATCGATGAAGCATCCCGCCAAATAAAAAAAGTGGCTGGCTGAATAGTTGGTGCACGAATGCAATGGGACAAATCCACGTTATCTTCCTGACAGACTGACATTTCCCTGCCGGGAAAATAATGAGTGCATCAAAGCACCCTGTCGAATTGAAACAAAAATTTTCCGCCGTCGAGAAAATGAATTATGTCGCGGTAAAATCAAATTGCTTTTCACTTCAGCGGCGCGGTCGGCCAAGCGAAATTGCGCTCATTATTTTCCCGACGGACTGATGTATCAAGTATACCAGTTTGTCGGGAAAATAATGTGGATTTTCGCAGCAAATCTCCAGCCACGGCTAGCCGTCACAAAGCGATGATGGGCGATTTCAAGACACTACAAATCCACATTATTTTCCCGACGGACTGATAAAAGCGTTAGTTTTATGCAACTCCAAAAACCCTTGCGGTTTTAGGTCGAAAGTTAACAAAGAAACAGCTCAAACTCTTGCATTGGTATTTTTTAAATTCTACTCTCACGTGCACCAAACTTTGCGAAATCATTGTTTTTCTTGCTCAAACCCTATTTTTTGCTGCTTACCTATGTAGAAGAACTAAAAAAATGAAACTGCGGCCAACTTTCTCATACACTAGTTCCACCAAAATTACTGTTGAATTCCATTAAACTCGAAAAGAACCCCATCCAACACCCCAACTTGGCACATCGTATCCTCCGGCAAAGCGTATTAAAATGCTTGCGGAATGAGGATGCCTGTCTCATCTGCGGCCCCATTTCAAGAAGCCCCGCACCTCTTCAGCATGATATTAAAGGAACAGCCGTGTACTTCGGGCTGTGTCTTTAATACGAACTTTTTTTCAAGCCCAACTATCATGCATGCAGAATTGGGGGGAGAAAAGAAAAGCAACACGTTTCGAACGCTCCCATGTTCGAAGGGCTATAAAAAGTGTCGGGAAAGTTTCCGGATTCGTCGAAAAAGTACGACGAACAAAATGTTTTTTTTCAATTTTTATGCCTCAACTGGTCGGACTTTGCGGTTCCTGACATTTGACAAGGAATGACATGCGGAAATATTTACAAAAGTAATTCTTCGAAGCGACGGAGGATTTTGAGAATTTTTTTGTTATTGCGTTTTTTCAAATGTGCGTTGACTTTTTGCCGTCGTCCGCACCGTTCGCTCAAACCTTTCTCAACGGCCAATTTTGGGCTCGCGAAAAATTGCAGGGAAAAAGCTCCTTATTCTGGCCACAACAAAGGTACTCCGCGAACTGCGCCCAAGCTTGGGCACTAAAGTTAGGAAAAAACGCTTCGACCTGGCTGGAACTGAATTACTGTAATAGCTCTATAGTTTTAAAGGTACCTACGAAGGCTGTGACGACTCATTTAGTTCCATACGGAGGCAATAAGTTTAGTTCCGGACATGTTTCATCGTATAAAATGTAAAATCACAGGCTGCAGCCGTTTTTGAAGGGTAAGGTGATACGTAAAAAAGAAGGTACCTCGCTAACTAAATCCACTGTCCGGGCATTGACATCGATGAATTGAGCGTGCACGCTAAATTTGGGCTAATTCCGACCAGTTTCCGCAAAGTTATAAGTTGTGGCCAAAATAAGGAACTTTTACCAATTGCACAATGAAATATGTTTCGAAAAGGATAGCGTCGCGCGCCATGCACTGTGCGATGCAAAAAAAAGGGCGAAAAAAGTCTGCGCACTTTTGAAAAGGCGTAATAATACTAACAGCTTTTTCAAAAGAGCACTTGATGGACTTGTCTTGTAAGCAGAGATTGCCACGGTCAAAATTTCGGCTCCGGCTCCGGCTCTTAGCTCCCAGAGCCGGAGCCGAGGCCAAATTTGCAGCTCCGGCTCTTGGCTCCGTGAAAAATCTAAAAAGGCCTCCGGCTCCGAATCCCGGCTCCTATGCCAAATGTTTTAGCCAAGAGCCGGCTCCGGAGCCGTGGCAATCTCTACTTGTAAGCAGATCAAAAATGACGATTTTTACTTTATTTTGATGGTACATTCCCATTTTTCTATACTATTCCGTTCGTAAAGTAGTTGGAGTGACTTCGGTGAGGTGCATCGTGAAAACAGTAAGGTTACGATCGACAGCCCAAAAATCCCTTTTTGCACAGTGCAAAAAACAAGAAACTGCACAGCGCAAAGCAAAGTTTTGTTTTCGCACAGTGCATGTCGCGAAAAATCACTTTGTGGACGGAATAGCATCGCAAAAAAATGCAAGAAAAAAACTCACTTTTAGTGGGATCCAAGATCATCTCGCTTTGGCGACGCGAGGAATATCCGGAGTGCATGGCTAACTAAAAAATCACTTATAATAAATCAATAAAAAAACAATAAAACAATAAAATTTACAAAAAAAAGCCTTGCAAAAAGAGACGTAAAATACAGAAATATTAAACTATAACTTGGCAAGTATCAGTCCGTCGTTAAAATAATGAGCTCTCCGTCGCTTCGAAAATCGCACCGCCGCGGGGAAAACGAATTGCGTCGCGACAAAGCCAAGTTTCTTTTTTCTCCAGTGACGGCAGCGAAATGGCGCTCATTATTTTCCCGACAGACTGATATAGCTCACAAATCAGCCGGTTGGGAAAATAACGTAGATTTCTGGCGATACTCATTATTTTCCCGACAGACAGTCGAGAATTTCGGCATTCTAAATTTCAGGCTTATTTTTACTGCAGAAGGTAATGTTTCCACAAAAAATCATCTTTTTCCCCGCAAACAGGCAAAATTATCGCCAAAAAAGTGGATTTTTCTTTCTCACCCTTTTCGGCGTACTCTCTTCACAAAAAAGATTGCTCTATATCCCAGCTGCCCCTGCAAAGCGCGAGCTAAAACTTTCAAAAAATGATTTCTGACCTATGTCCAGCGTATGTGCAAAATCTAAAGAGAATCCGAACGTGGCATTAAGCTACTTCCCTTGTTATTTTTTACTTCCTATCCTATTGAATTTCCGGACAAAAAAGCCTTCAAATATGTAGAACTTGAACCCGGCAATCGTCTTCAAACAATCTGCAACACCGCCGTGCATAAAGCAATTTCCGTCGCCCTATTTTTGGAGCTACCTCCGGCAGCCGCAAGTTGTCCGCCATCTCTGTTCGCACTAACGACGAAAACGCATGCCGGCGGGCAATCGCGTTATATCCGACAGAAAACAAAAACGTCAAGAGCCGACGGAAAAATTGGATGCCCTTTCCTTCGGGGCGGATTGTAAAAAAAAAGAGATGCCGAATAAAAGATATTTGCTTTATATGCAAAGTATTATCTGTTTGCGAGCCCCGAAGCTGTGGCATCATTCGCCGAGGGAGGCAAAACATTACTCATCCCGAAACTTTTTTGTTTACCGTGTGGTTTGCGAGGGGCTTGCGGGGAAGAAAGATTTATTAAAATTTTGAGGAATTCTTTGATTTTCAAAGCATTTTTTTGGTAGATTAGTTGAAATGGGACATTAAACAAATGCCAGCAACAAATTATCTGTACGACTGATAATTTTAATGATTCAAAACGAGATTTTAAAACATAAATTTTGTATAAAAACTAAACTTTAGAAGATTTATCGTCTTCAGACATGGCTTTGATCGATATTTCATTTCTAAAATTTTCAAAACACTAATTAAAGTACTGCGGACGCCGTAAAATTGTTAATTTTCAATTTGATAGCCCATATTCAGCCAAAAAACACAATGCCAAAATATTGCCAAAACGCGGGAAAATCGCCATTCAAAATTATTTTTGAAAAAAATTAGGGTCTGAGCTGGGCCATAGGTCCCTAAAATCCGGGCCAGACAAGGATTTGAAAATGTAGAAAAGGCCCGGACCGGGATCTACAACGAGGCTGGGCTGGGCAGTAGAAAATGCCAAAAACAGGCCCAATGCAAAAAACTGGCCAAGTCTGGGTATTGTTTTCCATTTTCCGAACGTTTTTCATGTGCTATACTACGCCGTTCCAAAAGTGCAAACCTTTTTGATTATAATATCAGTATAATTTATTTGTCGGGAAAATAACAGTGAGTTGTCGCGCCTTTGGATCGCCCATTATCGCTATGCAACGGCAAGCCGCAGCTGGAAATTTGATGCGTGTCTGCCTCCTTTTCGAAGAGGCGAAACATTTTGCTGCAACAATTATCAGTCTGTCGGGAAAATAACGGCGGATTGTCGCATCAAGATGTCTCGCCTCACCGTTATCACGCACCGATTCTCCAGCTGCGGGCGCCGTCGCAAAGCGATGATGGCGATTCCAAGGCGCGACGACCTGCCGTTATTTTCCCGACAGACTGATAAACTTTTTTGTCGCAAGCTTTTCGCACTGTGCAGAAAACCTTTTGCAGCGTGCAATAGAAAAATCGCAGCGGCCGAAAAGTTTTCAACTTTGTCGCCGCGAATTTCACAGTGAAAAAAGTGAAAAAAAAATACTCTATGCGCCTCCAAAAAAAGTCTACGCACTTTTGAAAAGACGTCGTATATAAATAGACAAAAGAGCCGCCTACTGCATCGAGAACTACTTTTCTGACATCACTTACCATAGCAGCATCAGAGAAGGACCGCGGCTGTGTTGGAGTCTCATCAATTGAAACGTTCCTCGAGTTCATTCGCCGCACCAATCTTTCCGCCATAATTCAACGCCTAATGGGCACACTGGAGATTATATTATTCCGCTAAAAGAGAAATTGATTACCGGGCCGAGAATAGGCGGGCTGTATTACTTGGAATCTAATTTTTTTGGGTGTTTTTGTAAATAGAAAAATGGAAAGGTGGAAAGTCTGAGTTAAATGAGAGAATCAAAGGTTAATTGGTAAAGTTTTACGTGTTTATGGCTATAGAGCTCGCATTTATGACGAAATGTCAAAAAAAATTTTTCCGATAATTTTTGTGACACTTCGTCAAATTAGAGGCGCCGTATTTTAAACGTCCTAAAAAGATTTTTAAAGGCTAAAAAAATATTTAGACGATCAAAAATCATTGTTTTATACCCCAAAAATTGCTCCAGCGACCGACGAAATGTCAAAAAAAAATTCCAATAATTTTTTTGACATTTCGTCAAATTTAAAGCGCCGTCTTTTAAGCGTCATAAAAAGGTTTTTAAAGGCTAAAAAGATACTTCAACGATCAAAAATCTTTGTTTTATACCCCAAAAATTGCTCCAGCGACCGACGAAATGTCAAAAAAAATTCCAATAATTTTTTTGACATTTCGTCAAATTTAAAGCGCCATCTTTTAAGCGTCATAATAAGATTTTTTAAAGGCTAAAAAATACTTCAACGATCAAAAATCTTCGCTTTATACCTCAGAAAAACTCTAGCGACCGAAAAAGCAAGCCAAAAACAAAGAATAAATCTACAGTAATTCCCATAATCTACTATAAAACCGCTTCGGAAATAGACAATACTCCACGACAAAGTCACCCCCAAAATTTCTTGAAAAACGGCCGACCCGAGGCCTAGATTAACTTGTCCAATTCTGATGATTCCCGTCATTAGAGAATTCCCGTTTTTTCGATCATTTTTCGCCCGCAGGGGATTAGGACCCGCCACGATGTCGGGGAGAAAACAATGTCAGAAGGAGTCGAAAGACATCAAAGAATACACAGTGGTCTGTTGTTTTTGTTTTTGGAAGACGACATTTTTACGGGGGAAATTACAAAAAGTATATTCACTGGCAACATGTACAAATAAACTGTAAGCAAAAAATTTGTTCGTTTAAAAAAATTTTTGCTCTAAAGAGAATTATTTTTGCCCGACATCGCTTTGTGGGCCTTCAAAAATTGTTCGTTATAGACGGATTTTGTATACTATTAGCCTGAAGACAAAAAAAACACATATTATGAGACTGTCGGGAAAGTAATGTGGATTTGTCGCGCCTTGAAATCGCCCATCATTGCAACGGCTCGCCACGGTTGGAGATTTGGTGCGCAGCCGCGGCGAAGCATTACATGTTATTTTCCCGACAGACAGAATCCACGTTATTTTCCGGACAGACAGAATCCACATTATTTTCCCGACAGACAGAATCCAGATTATTTTCCCGACAGACAGAATCCACATTATTTTCCCGACAGAGATATATCAATTTGCCGGGAAAAATTGTTCGCTTTGGCAGGTTTTGTTGTATCAGTCTGTCGGGAAAATAATGAGTACTCAGGCGTATCAAAAATTGCATCGCCAATGAGAAAATAAATTGTGTCGCGGCAAAATCAAATTGCTTTTCACTTCAGCGATCGGCGCAACAACGACATTTTGCTCATCATTTTCCCGACAGACTGATATTTCCGCCATTCCAACTTGTTGGGAAAATAATGTGGATTTGTGAGTCATTGTGCAGAGGCTAAAAATTGAAGAATGATTACAAAAATCCCCAAAATTCAAGGCAAAATCAATTGTTTATTCGCTTTTTTGCTCCGATTCGCTCTTCCTTTCCTTGACACTTCGCCTCGATCCGCCTCGTTCATTGTCTTCTGCTTTCTCTGACAATGCTTTTTCTGATTTTTGAGAATCTTCATTTCTTCCGGACTTCACCGACTTCACCGACTTTGCCGATTTTTTGGAGTTTGACTCATTGCTGTTGCTATGATCGTTCGATTCCCGTTGAGTCGACAACTTCTTGTGCTGAAAAAAAAATAATTTAAAAAAGTTTACAGGGGAAGTACTCCAAGTGCGACGCTCAGATTTTCTTTAAATTCTCCACACACCTCGGGTATGGACTAAATATCAATTCTCAAAAGTTCTAGCTTGCGCTTTGCGGGTTCCGCCGAGATATCAAACGATTTTTGCCGCCGAGAGCGCACGCTAAACGTGGAGAGCGGTCCGAGAGAAAAGCGCTTTTTGGCCATAACTTTTGCAGTTTCGGGCGGAAAAATTTGATTTTTTGTAGAAACATAGTCCTTTACGGTTGAAATACGCATGAAACTTTTGGTGCCGAAATTTGGCAAAAAATCCAAAATTTTGGTCGACTTTCGATCGAAAAATCTCGGTTGTTTCTGCAAAGCGCGAGCTAGGATTCTCGCATATATCTTAGAAAAAATTATTCTAAATTTGTGCCAAGTTTCATCAAAATCTGAGCGTCGCACTTGGGGTACTTCCCCTGTAAGCCTTAACAAGCCTAACCCAGCCTAAGCCTAAGCGCGGTTATGATTTTCTTTTTGGATGGTGGCCAATTTGCGGAACTTTTACCAAAAAAAGTTTCAAATTTGGAAATAATTTTTTTTGCCAAACTTGGCCATAAAACTTCACTATAATTTTCCCAAAATTTTGCTTCCAAAAATACCCACCTCAATTTTGCTTTCTGGAGCTTCCGAGGCCTCTCCAAACGGCTTGAAAGAACGCCGATATCCTGGCCTCCCGACGACGTCATCATTTTCTCCGGACGACTTCATCATTTTCTCCTGCCCAACCTTGAGTGGAATCGCTGTTTTGGAATCCGCGCCGCGGGCCGTAACTGTTCGAACACGTGTGATCTCGGCTTCGGGGCGTTCACGATCATTGTTTGGGGGCTGTTGAAGGGAAGTGGACTAAAAAATAAGGGGAAATCAGGAGATTTTGTAATTTAAAAAATTGAAAAAATTCGAAATTTCGGAGAAATTTAAAAAAAAATTTTTTTGAAAAAATTTGAAAAAATTGGAAAAATGCGATTTTTTTAATTAAAAAAATTGGGAAAATTCGACTTTTTTTGGAAAAATTCAATTTTTTTAGGAAAAATTCAAAAAAAAATTTTTTCGAAAAATTTTGAAAATTTAAATATTTTTTTAAAAATGAATAAAAGATTGACTCACAGTTCTTTTCTTGGCCGCTGGTGCGGAGCCTCTCGCTTTCATGGGCGTGATTTGTTTTCCAGGAAGTAGATGCGGAGTCAATGGTGCCGAACTCATGGCCGCTTCTCGTGCCAATCGGGCAACCTCTTGCGATGACTGAAAAAAAGTTTTTTGTTGCTTTTTTATCGCTTTGTCGGGAAAATAATGAGCAATCCGTCGCAACGAAAAAAGATTAATTATTAACTCACCCGTGGCATCCCTTTTTGAGCACTTTTGGTCGATTCTTTTGTTTTACGGTTTTTCGGTTTGCACATGCCGAGCTTGACCTTTATCGACCAAAAAAAGTCGACCGAATGCGCCGACTCCAAGTAAAAAATGTAGAAAATTTTTCTGACTTTCATGGGAATTGGGGGGAAAATGAAAAACAAAAAATTTTTTTTTTCAAAAATTAATTTTTTTTTTGAAAATAAAAAAAAATCAAAAAATTCAATTTTTTGAAATTAAATTTTTTTTTCAAAAATTCAATTTTTGAAATTAAAAATTTTTTTTTCAAAAATTCGATTTTTTGAAAATAAAAAAAATCAAAAATGTAAAATTTTGAAAAAAAAATTTCAAAAATTCAATTTTTTGAAATGAAAAATTCAATTTTTAAAGCTCGAAATTACATTTTTCCAAATATATTTTGTCACCAATTCTCGCTGAAAATGCGGTCGACGATATTGTTTTTGCCGTTGATCCTCGTTTTTGGCGTTTTTCCCACCACCACCTCCGCCCTCCAAGTCCGACTCGATTACAATGTCGCCGATGATGGCAGAGCGTTGGAGTTTTATCGACCAAGCCGACCGCTCTTCGACATGGTCGATGGGAATTCGTTCGAGCAATGGGGCGACCTCCGACGCAAGAGGAATCGGACTCGGCCCGCGGACTCGTTGTTCATGCAGTTGGAGGCGGTTCAGGACGAGTCCTACAACTTGATTTGCGTCATGCTTTTGTGAGCGTTTTTTATATATATTTTTTTTGAGAAAAAATAGTTGTTTTCAATATAAAATTTAGAGAATTTGGTCAATAGGTCAAAATATTAGGTAAAAGTTCCTTATTTTGGCCACAACTTATAACTTTGCGGAAACTGGCCGGAATTAGCCCAAATTTAGCGTGCACGCTCAATTCATCGTTGTCAATTCCCGGACAGTGCATTTAGTTAGTGAGGTCCCTTCTTTTTTACGTACTACCTTACCCTTCAAAAACGGCTGCAGCCTGTGATTTTACACTTTATACGATGAAACATGTCCCGAACTAAACTTACTGACTCCGTATGTAATTAAATGAGTCGTCACAGCCTTCGTAGGTACCCTTAAAACTATAGAGCTATTATAGTAATTCCGTTCCAGCTAGGTCGAAGCGTTTTTTCCTAAGTTTAGTGCCCAAGCTTTGGCGTAGTTCGCGGAGTAGCTTTGTTGTGGCCAGAATAAGGAACTTTTCCCTTTTTCAGTATAAAATTTTAACAATTTTGGTCAAAAATATTTTTTCAAAACACCCTTTATTTTTGAAAAATATGACATCTTCCTGGACAAGGTCACATGTCCTTGATAAACGCAAGATTCTCATCGCTATTTAGAGCCAAATTCCAAAACCAACGATTTGTTTATAACCTTTATTTTTTTGCGTCCAGCCAAAAAAGAGTTTTTAAATTCGGGAGATTAATTTAGTGGTCAATTTGAGCGAATAAATGGTCTGAAATGACCGTCTGTTTTCGAAAGGAAGTGTTCAAGTGCGACGCTCAAATTTTGATTTTTTTTTGTTATAAAAACGGTTTTTTCGGCCTTGATTCATAGTCAATTTTCGTCATACCACGCCTTTTCAAGGCTATGCCTCAGCTTAGGAAAGTCCTCAACTAACAGCGGAAGTACTCCAAGTGCGACGGTCAGATTTTCTTTAAATTTTGCACACACATCGGGTATGGACTAAATATCAATTCCTGAAAGTTTTAGCTCGCGCGCCGCCGAGATATCGAACGATTTTTTGCCGCCGAAAGAGCACGCTAAACGTGGAGAGCGGTCAGAGAGAAAAACGATTTTTGGCCATAACTTTGGCAGTTTCGAGCGGAAAAATTAGATTTTTTGTAGAAACATTATCCTTTACGGTTGAAATAGGCATGAAACTTTTCGTGCCGAAATTCGGCAAAAAGTCCTAAATTTTGGCCGACTTTCGATCTAAAAATCTCGGTTGTTTCTGCAAAGCGCGAGCTAGGATTCTCGCATATATTTCAGAAAAAATTATTCTAAATTTGTGCCAAGTTTCATCAAAGTCTGAGCGTCGCACTTGGAGTACTTCCCCTGTAAGCTGAGCCCAGCCAACTTTTCATCGTATAAAATATCTTCCGCAGGTCGCGCTCCTTTCATTTTCCCAAGACTGGATTTCTTTGGGTGGTGCCCTCTGGCTAACTTTGTGGGACGCTACAAAAAACGCCAGAGTAGATGTAAATAGAGCAATAAATTCAGAAGAAACTACAGCCATTCCAAGTACGAATAACCCAAAATCCCAGACTTTTTAATGGGCTGGAAAATGGCTAGGGCCCGGGATATTCACCATGACACAAACGAAGAATTTTTTTATATTTTTGAAATATTCTGAAAGGAAGCTTGTAAAAAATAAAATTCTACCAGTCAAAAATTTTGCAAAGGTCAGCCGCATACATATATGCTTTCAGTTTTAACATACACTCAAACAGGCTCTAGAAATTTTGTTTTGAAGTGTCACAAAAAAATGTGGAAAAACTTTTGAATCAACCTAATATTTCTCTCATATGTCATGTTTTCAGATTGATGACCGCCTTATTTATGCTGATGCAGGATTGCAATGGCGAGTAGCTTCGCCCCGCTGATTACATCTATGTCCCTTGTGTTTTGACTGGCTTAGTAAATGTTTTGTGATATCAATTTTGTCTTCTTTGGCGTCTCAATTGATTGACCGTAATGAAAATTTCGCGTGGCATTTGATAAGAAGACATAAAAAACCCGAAACTTTACACCGTTTTGGAGGGCGTTGATCTAATTTTTCTCTAGTCTAGCGGGAAGATCGCGCATATTTGCAGTCAACAACTCTGTAATATAATACATTTTAAATTTTACCGCAAAGTTTCGGGACATTTTAAGTGCAGATTTCGTAATCACGATGGTTAGAAACCAATGAAGGCAATCAAGTTGTTATTGAAAGGTTTTGCGATATTTTGAAACAACATGACGATGGAATGGTAAACAATAATTACTGATAACCGCACAGCCACGCTGTTTTTGGCTGGAATAAAAGGGCTGATCATTTAGGCGAAGTGGTAATTATATAAAGACAGCTAGTTTGGAGGCCGAACTTATTTGCTTTTTTTCTCATTTTTGCTGATTGGTAAAGACCTTTAAAGTATTTTTTGTTTTTATGTGATTGAGAAGTTTTGATGACTTTGAAATTTAACAAAGCAAATTTTATTTTTTAATTTGGAAAAAATCTTGTTTGTGGCAAAATTTGGCAATTTTTTCTGGGCAAATTTCCAAGCTTGGCAAAAAAAATTTTATTCCAAACTTGCAAAATTTATTTTCATGTCCATATTTGGCAAAAAAAAACATTTACTAGTCCTTTCGGAAAGTCGCCGGACTGAAAATTGTGCGAAAACAAAAGTTTTCTTTGCACTGTGCAATTTCTTGCTTTTTGCACCGTGCAATATGCTTTTTCGGCGGTCGCTCACACCCCTTTTTTCGCACAGTGTAAGCACTAAAAAATCAGTTGACTGCTTTCCGGCAGGGCCAGTAAAATCTCTGGAATAATTTTTGGCATTGCACTGTGCAGGAAAAGGAATGGTGCGAGCGACCCCGAAAAAACCCTCTTGCACGGTGCATACTGGAAGAAATCTCTGTGTAAAGTGAACTTTTATTTTCTCACAGTGCATGTCGCGGAAATCACTACAGCGACTTTGCAAACGGACTAGTACTTGCCCCAAATTTTATAACGGCTGCTTTTTAGAACATAGCGAAAACTTTTTGAATGTTAGAGAATTATCGACTAGTGTGGTCTCAAAACAGCGGCTGATCGGGCGAAAATCCGCTTTTTTTCTTACGAAGCTCTCTGCAGCGAACTCCCGTGTAATCAAACTTCTCAATATCAGTCTGCCGGAAACATTGTGAGCGGTGGAGCCAATCGCGTCGCTGAAGTGAAAAGCAATTTGATTTTTCTGCGACAAAATTCATTTTCTCGGCAGCGATGCGATTTTCGATGCGACAGAGCGCTTATTATGTTCCCGACAGACTGATGACTAACAATTGCAGAGATGTTAGCAACGTAAAGCCGAATTCGGGTTGATTGATATGTTGCACTGCATTTTCAACGCTTTTTTAGAATTCGGATCGTTTCTTATTGAATTTTCTGTCCAAAAATCACAGTTTGAATTTCTCTGCAACATCTTTTCTCTGCCCCACCCTTTGATTCGAAACTTGAACCCGAGTAGTCTAGCCAAACGTCTTCCCTTTTTCATCCGCTTTACCCGTTCAAGTTTGTTGTTATAGTTTTCGTTATCAACCCGTTGTTTCGAGGTGGCTTCGAAACTTCGAGAAAACTCACTCGGGGTTTTTTTCCGATTCGAAAAAATTGGAAATAAAATTCGCGCGCCAAAGTCCGAAGTATGTTTGGCGGGGTGGCGCTCAAAACACCACGTGGTCGTGGTGATGACTGTGTTCTGGGGAAATGGGAGATTTTCCCGTTTTTTTGACAGTAAATCAGTCTGTCGGGAAAATAATGAGCACATTGTCGCTGCGCCAGTCGCGTCGCTGAAGCGACAAGTTCGAGATTCTTTTCATCGTATAAGATGTCACACCTTATTCTTTTCAATTTGAAGAAAATCTTCATCGTATAAGATGTCACACCCAATTTTTCTCAGTTTGAAAAAAAATTTTCGTCGTATAACATGTCACACCTCGTTTTTTCAATTTTCAAAATAGGGGAGTGTTCAAAAAGGGGGAGAGTTCAGGCTCAACCCATTTTCTCTGCGGCAATGCGATTTTCGTGCGAGGAGTGCTCATTATTTCCCCGACAGACTGATATTATCAATTTATTCTTTGCCTCTTCCTTAATTTTGTAGGTGATTTAAGAGCGAAGGAATAAGAATTTTTTCTCGAGCTCGAGAATGTTTGCTGGATTCGCTACCAATTTCGAAAAGTAGCGAAATGATCTATTTGCGACGTGGTCTCGGTAGCGAATCCTTCTTTTCGCGACCTCCGAAAAAAATCGGTCGCGAATCGGCGTTTTCGCTTCCTCCGCGAGAGAGAAGGTAGCAAAACGGCGTTTTTGCGACGGCGCGGAATTGGGAGGTAGCAAATCCGTGGATTTGCGACCTCCCAAATTGACTCCGCCCACTCCGGCGGAAATTTTTTTTTTAGCGCTCCGGTTTGCGGTTTTGAATATATTTCGAGTGTATAAAGCACTATTCATACTCCCATACATTTTTCTTGACAATAACAATTTATTAAAACTAATAATCTAAAAAATAACAAGGCGTAAGAGAGGAAACAGAGATATTTTACATTAAAATCGGTATAAAATAATTCTTGCTACTAATTCACACCTAAATAAATAAAAATACAGCCTCTTGGGAACACACAGGTAAACAATAATAAAGCTTAACATATGGCCAATAGAAAGACTAACAACATCTCTAATAAGTATGATATGGCCAGGGATGAAACAACAGAGGATATGGCATTGAAATCACGGTGTTCTGGACAATACTGCAAGTCCGTGTGGAGACATGGCCCTGGAACTGCCGGGGAGGTCCTGGATCTGCTGGGGAGTTCCTGGGACCTGCTGTGCGGGGTTGAACGGCTAAGACAGACGTAGCCGCGGCGTTTGATGGGGCCAGTCCTCCTCCTAAAGCAAGAAAATAAAATAAAAATGTTTCTTACTATCTTGTAGACCCACGATGTAGACCCAATTCTTGACAGAAACCAATTCGTGCACATATTAGATAACTATCCTCATGTGGTCTCCAACATATGGCCTTCTGCGCCGGGTGTAATGGACAATTCTGCCTTCAACGACTTTTCCAAACGACTCGTCGATGCATCGATCTTCCCACACTCCATTCTTTTCAAGTTTGACCAAGACACATCTCCAATTTGACGCATCCCGCTCGGACCATATCTTATTGATAAAACCAAAACATCCTGATTCTTGTCGTTATTACTAAAAAAATAATAACAAAGAGCAAGGCTTACATAAACTACGTCCAAACATTGAAATTCGGCCTTCGGAGCAATCGGCTTCAACAGCTCTTTCAAAAGGTTCGACTGTCCAAAAGACGGCAGACTCTTTTGATAAGACCGAGGAAATCCTTGTTATTCAACTAAAACAATAACATACCAAGAATAAAGCTTACGTAATTGTCCAACCCGGAATTCGGCCCTCGGTTGCCTTCAATTCGGATCGAATGAACAGAAATCCCACGAAAATTGGACCTAAAATCCGTTCTCGGACTGCGTGGCATTTCGTCTTCATGGGCCGCGAAAACATTCGCAAATTCTTTTTCCTTTTTTTGTTTCCTTTTGTTGAATTGGCCAAATAGATGCAGAGAAGCTGAATTAGAAGACAACCCGACTCAAGGTGATCGCCATACCCATCGGGGACGACAAGGCTTTTTGACTCCATGGTAAGCTGTTTTTTTTTATTATTTTTTGATTTTGGACGAGATTTCTAATTTTTTCTACATTATTCATGTCTAATAAATCTTTTTCAGGAGGCAGAAACATTGAAATCGGACAAAGGAAAAGCCGTGTGGTAGTTGCCAAAGGAAGTAAGATTTGATATAAGTATTATTACTTTGTTTTTAGGTAATTTAGAGATTGAAATTGTTACCTGGAATCAATTTCACTCCCATCGGCCGTATTTTTGCACAAGACTATCTCCATTTCGATGCTCGGATGCTCGGAAGACGCATGCACTATGAGGTATGTATGAAGGTCTATTTTTCTAAAAATGAGAAGGAAATGTTATATTGCTTTTGATTTCCAGGAAGATCCATATCCGACCATGTCCTGCAACCCCAGTCATAGACTCTTGGGCCATATCTGGACAATATTGTGGAAAAACAAATTTTCTTCAGCCCCATCCATTGACTCTCCGGCCATATTTGGACAAAATCGTGGAAAAAATAAAATATATTCTCCATAAAATGTACGTCATTTTACAATAAATGTTTTAACGAGTCGAGGGACCTTTTTTCTTTCATAGTATCGTAAATGTACGATTTGTAAGCTAAATTTTTCACCCTAAACGGTGTTTTTTCGTCAAAAAAGCCAACACGTGGTGGCTGAAAAACTGAGGGGGCGGGGCTTATTTTGGGACGTCGCAAATCCATGGATTTGCTACCTCCCAATTTTGCGCCGTCGCAAAATGACCGATTTGCTACCTCCCAATTTTGCGCCGTCGCAAAATGGCCGATTTGCTTCCGACGCCTTTTTTGGAGGTTGCAATGTGAGGTTTCCGCTACTTTTTGAAATTGGTAGCGAATCCAGCAAACATTCTCGAGCTCGAGAAAAAATTCTTATTCCTTCGCTCTTATTTGAAGCGAACCGTCGTTAAATTGCCTGCGATTTCGATTATTAATTTTTGAAAGCCCATTTCACATGAGAATTTGGAGATTTTTTGAATAATAAGCCTGTTAGATTTTATGGGTTATAGTCGTCTTTGGCCTCTTTTATTGGACTTTTTTATTAAAATTACGTCAAACTGGAGAAGTACTCCGAGTGCGACGCTCGGATTTTGATGAAATTGGGCAAAAATTTAGAATAATTTACAACATGCGTTCCTAGCTTGTCGAAACGACCGAGATTTTTTTGGCCAAAGGTTTCTAAAAAGGTGACACTTTTTTTGCGGACTTTGGCACGAAAAGTTGCTGTAATGTTTCCACATCAAACTAATTTTTCATGCGACCAGGGGCCAATGCGCTATCTAAAAGTTTGCTGAAAATCATAGGGCGCAGCTCGGAGAATTTGCACGGGCGCAGCTCGCGTCTTGGGCGCAGCTCGGAAACAAGCCGAAACTTAGCTCCGGCGAGCTGCGAAACGTTTTTTTCCGTGCTGCGCCCTTCCATTTTCAGCTAACTTTCAGCAAACTTTCAGATAGCGCATTGGCCCCAGTAAGTATTATATTTTTGTGCGGTTTGGAGGAACAACCAAGATTTTTTGGTCAAAAATTGGAAAAAAATGTAAAACTTTTTTCCGAATTTTATCTTGAAAAATTTCTTGCTTATTTCTACCGTATAGGGTGATGTTCCCGCAAAAAATCAATTTTTTCCCCACTAAACTGGCAAAGATATGGACAAAAACTGTTTTGCTCTCTGACCGCTCTCCGCTTCTTGCATACTCTCTCGCCGTCAAAAATCACTTTTTTTGGCCATATCTGACCGACATTTCCAGTAAAAAATGAATCGTGATCTTTGTTGTTTTCTCACCTTCTAATCGCACACAAAATATAGTGTTGATTACAACGGACCTCGTGGTCATTTACAGCCCATCTTATTATGTTTTTTTTCACACGACTCACTTTCGAACTCACGCTGAAAAAACAGCAACCAGTTCCTCGTTTACGAGCATCAACAGCGTTCTTTTACTTTAATTGTCGCATTTTCTTTTTGAAAAGTTCAAATTATTTGATATTTCGGTTTGTAAACAAAGGTGTAATCACTCTTTTGATGGAGTGATTACACCTCTAGCTTTTGGAATTTTGTGATGTTTCATCAATCACAGAGTACAATGTAACACTATTTTCTACCGCACAAAGCCCAACTTTCAGCAACTTTCGGTTGCCCCAGGACAAGATTCTTGAAAAAATTATACCGTGGAATGAAATTTTTCTCACTTTCTTACCGTCAAAATTTTTCTCATCATTCCCAATTTTAGCTTCAAATGATAGAACGACAAGTCCTTCACCTCCTCCCGTTCGCCCTTCTGTTCTGCATCAACATCAATGAAGTGTTCATGACAAAAACCTTCTTGCAGAAGGACAGAACGCCGGACTGGGTGGTGGCGAACAACCCCAACATGGGGCCGAAGAACGCGCAACCGGAGCAGGTCCATTTGGCGATGCACGGGCCCGACAAATACATTGTGACATGGGCCACACATTCGGATCCCGGCCATTCGTATGTGACGTACGGTGTGGACGGGAGAATCGATGACAATCGCGTTGAAGCGCAGAGCACCTACTTCCATGAGAAGGGAGGGATTTTGGATGTTCTGTATGTACATCATGCCACGATTGAGGGGATCAAGCCGGGAGTGGTTTACAGTACGTTCAACTTTAATGATACGATCATGGTTTGAGTGGTTGAAGTGTGACACTTAGAGTTTATCAGTCTTTCGGGAAAATAATGAGCACTCTGTCGCAACGAAAATCGCATAGCCGCTGATAAAATGAATTGTCTCGGGGCAAAATCAAATTGCTTTTCACTTCAGTGACGTGATCGGTACAGCGACATTGTGCTCATTATTTTCCCGACAGACTGCTTTCTTTTATTATAATGCAGCTTGAGATTGATTTTGAGCACATTTGCAAAAAGCATTGACGGATTTCAAGCTGTTGATTTGCTCGAAACAAGCGAAACTCTTACAAGGGAAGTCACTTAAGTCACGGATCGATTTTTAAAAACGACTGTTACAGAGAGAGGTAGTGTAGGACGGAGATATCAAATCTGAAAACCGCTGCCTCCACCGGCCTCTGGGAGCCGAGATAATCGACCAAAAAGGTTTGACAAAAAAGAGTTGCTCCGAAAAGCCCTTCTTTTCGAAAGAAGGAGCGGAGAGAACCGAATGGTCCGGTGGTCTGGAAGCGCGCTTCCAGGCCTTGACCTTTTCAAGTTCGAATCCGCATGGGTCAAATAATTTATTAAACTTTTCCTGTAATCCAGTAAATTTACCGGTAAGAAAAAATTTTTGATTTTTTTCATATTTTACGATAAAATTTCAGAGCAATAATTTGAAAGTTCCAAACGATTTGAATTTTCAAGGTTGAAAATTTAACGTAAAATAGGCATAAAATATAAAAATAAATTGCTATTAAATTTACTGGATCAAAGCAACTGTTTTATAAATTTTTCACAAGTTCGAGACCCACGCGGATTCGAACCTGAAAAGGTGAAGGTCTGGAAGCGCGCTTCCAGACCATTCGGTTCGATGGATTTTCTTCTTTCGAAAGGAAGAAATGTTCGGAGGAATTTGGTCAAACTTCTTGGTCGATTATCTTGGCTCCCAGAGGCCGGTGGAGGTAGCCGTTTTCAGATTTGATATCTCCGTCCTACCCTCCCCGTTGCTGTAACAGTCGTTTTGCAAAATCGATCCGTGATTTAAGTGACTTCCCTTGTTAGTGCGAAATTTGGCCAAGATTTGGCACTTTTTGCGAGTAAAAATTTTCGGCCTTATTTCTACTGGAGACCGCAACGCTTCTACCAAAAATCATTTTTCTCCGCAAAAAATGGGCCAAAACATGGCCAAAATATGATTTCTCTCTTACCGCTCTCCGCATTTTGCGCACTCTCTCGTTAACAAAGGTTATTTCCGCTGTCCCTCCTGAGCTGATATTTTGAAAAATTGATATATGAAATCAGCTCCAAGTGCATGCGCTATTTTAACAGTCTGTCGGGAAAATAATGCGGATTTTTTGCAGCAAAATTTCTCGCCTCAAAATAGGCGAGTCTTTCGCCTACAAGTCTCCAGCTTTAGCTAACCGTCACAAAGTGAGAATGGGCAATTTCAAGGGCCACGAATCCATATTATTTTCCCGACAGACTGATAAAGAAATAGGAAATTTTGAGCGTTGCACTCACCCTTCAAACACAGCCCTTGTTAATTCTAAACTTTCTTTCAACTTGACCGACATTTTCATTTTTCCAGCCTACCGAGTCGGCTCCGACTACGGATTCAGCCACATTCTGCGCTTCAAAGGACTTGAAGAGCGCCCGGATGGCGGCTACAAAGTGGCCGTCTACGGGGATTTTGGATACGAGAACGCCAGATCGATTGCGCCGTTGACGAATCTCGCTCAAACCGGCGGAATCGACCTCGTCATGCATGTTGGAGATATGGCTTATAATCTGGACATTGTAGGTTACTTGCAGCCACAATTTTCGAAGCAATTGATGCCGTTCTTTTCAGCGAGGCGATCCGTTTATGCGAATGATCGAGCCGATTGCATCGACAGTCCCATATATGGTCAGTCCGGGGAATCACGAGATGGAAATGATCCCGTATCACAATTACATTTACCGATACAACATGCCCAATTCGTACGACAACCATTACTACAGCTATGACCTGGGAAAGGCGCATATCATCAGCTTTTCCACCGAGTTTTATTACGATTTTTATAGCGGGATTGTCAAGGGGTTGGTGCAGCAACAATACGAGTGGCTGGAGAATGATTTACAGGTTAGTAATGCTTTGTTGTAGGCGTCGCTTGGATCAAAAAAGATTTCGATTTCCTGACATATTTGAAATGTAAAGTCTCGCTGAGTTCTGTCGGGAAAAATAATGTGGATTTGTCGCGCATTCAAATCGCCCATCGTCGCTTTGCGGCGGCTTGCCACGGCTTGAGATTTGGTGGGCGAGGCGATTCTGCGACAATCCTCATTATTTTCCCGACAAAATGATATATCAGTTTGTCGGGAAAATAATGAACACAATGTCGCTGCGCCGATCGCGTCGCTGAAGTGAAAAGAAATCTGATTTTGCCACGAACTATAATGATTCATTTTCTCGGCGGCGATGCCATTTTTGATGCGACATAGGGCTCATTATTTTCCCGACAGACTGATATCGGAGCATCGAATAGCAGACAGCAGTCAGTCCAGAATAATTCAAACCCTAATTTCAAGCCCGTCTACATTTCAGAAGGCCAACGCGAATCGCAAAAACGTCCCATGGATCATCACGCTCGGCCATCGTCCCATGTACTGTTCGACGGACGACGGCGACGACTGCCGCAACAAGGAAGCCCGAGTTCGCGTGGGCTGGAAGAGCCATTACGGTCTTGAGGCGTTGTTCTACAAATACGGAGTCGACCTCGAAGTCTGGGCGCACGAACACACCTACGAACGACTATATCCGACCTACGATCGGCAGGTCTATGATGGCGCTGAGTCACCGTATGTGGATCCTCCGGCGCCGGTGCATATAATCTCGGGATCGGCGGGATGCAATGAGAATACGGACCAATTTGTGAAAAATCCCGAGCCATGGAGTGCGTTCCGATCGACAAATTATGGATTCAGTCTGATGCAGGTCCACAATGACACACATCTGCATTGGCAACAAGTCAAGGCCGCCGATGTGAGTGTAAAAATGTTTTAGCCAGCTCAAAGCGTCTTTTAACCCAAAATTTTTTTACTCTTTATCAAAATCTTTTCAGAAGTCGATAGAAGACGACCTCTGGATCATCAAGCGAAAGCACGCCCCATATTCCAAGCGAGATCTCCTCAAACTGAAGAGAAACAGTCGATTTGTCCCGTATGGCAAGGCCGAGAGATGGCATGAGTATGACTTGAAACAGGTGAACAAAACACCAAAACGGTCGACGGATTTATAAGGGAGAAAAAACGAGTTCAACAACACAATCAGCTTTAATGTACCTAAGTGGTTTGAAGAAGAATTGAATAAATTATAATGGTCTAGAAGATATAATATTTTTACTGTACAGAGGAAATGCCCAAAGCGCGACGCACGTCAAACTGAGGAGTCCGGTGACCGGAATAGACTCTTCGCTATCGGTTTTTTACACTTCGTCTTGATTTAACAGAGAAAGAGAGAAAAAAGAGACGCAAAAACGTACTCTCTCGCCCCAAAAATTCCCCATTTCTCCCCCGACAAAACGTTTTTTCGCGTCTTTTTTTGGCAAATTGCCAACCCATTCACCGGACTGTTTTAGCTTACCTCAGTTTGACGTGCGTCACACTTCGATCAAAATTCCTCGCTAGCACTTAGCCGAGGAACACGCTAACTAATAATCGTACGAACCTCTAAAACAGTAACATATCCACAATAAAACGTATGTATCTTGTGCCGACCTACAGCAAACAGACCCCGTCCAATCAATGCGAATTGACGCAACTCCAAAAATAGTGAATAAGTGTGCCGACTACGGTATCGAGGTGCAACACAAGCCAGGAGTCGAACAAATACGAAAGTCGGAATGTTGCTGCAGCTGCGAATGCAAAGAATTGGTCAAGGTTTGTCCGATTGAACTAATTTGAGAGCATAGCAACGTGAGTCATGTTAGACTACAAAATCAGAGGAAGAGAACACAATGTGATTACAGTACACCTCTACGAAATTTATCTATTTCAAGGCCTTCGCATAAAAATAGTCTCGTCGTCTGGAACTTTACATTTTGCAAACCAACAAGTACCCCAAGTCCGACGCACGTCAAACTGAGATAAGCTAAAACAGTCCGGTAAATAGATTGGCAATTTGTCAAAAAAAGACGCGAAAAAACGTTTTGTCGGGGGAGAAATGGGGAATTTTTGGGGCGAGAGAGTACGCTTTTGTGTGTCTTTTTTCTCTCTTTCTCTGCGAAATCAAGACGAAGTGTAAAAAACCGATAGCGAAGGGTCTATTCCGGTCACCGGACTCCTCATCGTCAGTTTGACGTGCGACGTTCAGATTTTCTTAAAAATTTGCACACATATCAGGCATAAGTCACATATCAAGTCCAAAAAGATTTGTTTTTAACGCCTTTCAAGGCGCAGCCGAGATATTCAAAAGTACGCAAACGGGGAGAGCGGTCAGAGAATGATATAGCTTTTAGCCGTATCTTTGTGAGCTCCGTGCGGAAAAAGGGCCATACCATTAGCAAAGTTTCGTTGCGGAAAAAGACGAATTTTTGTGGAAAAATTGCACTTTGAACTAAAAATACCGAAAGTATTTTAAAGGATCAAAACATCTACCTTTGAATCTCGCTTTTACGGCCTGGACGACGAAATGTCACGCAATTTTTGCTGCGCCTCGACATAAAACGGAATTGACAATAGCTCAAAATAATCAAATAGATTGTAAAATACACCATCAACAGTTTTAAAGGCATTTCTAGTTTGTTTTAATGGCGTGGGAGAACAAAAAATACTGTGACAGTTCGTCTTCCAAGCCGTAAAAACGAGTGTCCAATGTGGTTTTATTGGCCTTCTAATGATTGAAAAAGGGGACATTGCATAAATGAGCGTATTTTACTTTGATAATACAATTAAAATTGGTTGCAAACTATGCACGAACATGGAGTATGGCAACTATTTTTTTCTCTATTTTCAAACTCTACTCTTCGCATGCCATCCTGCAGCTGCATTGCGTTTATCCAATCCCGCAAAATCTCTCCAAAAACAAACGTTCAACCATCTGTTTCGCAAACATTTGAGGCTAAAATCGAATCCTGTGTGTCGAGCCCATCATACAGGTGTAGTGTGGAATTCGAATCATCGCTGAAACACAAATGACTCAAGATGACGTATGATCAATATAAATCTCTATTCTGGCGAAGCTATTTGTCCAGCTTGAGTTCGAATCCACTGCATTACGAGTATAAAATGAGCAGTGTCGGAACTGTTACACACAAGTTCTCAATCATGTCGAAAGTGTGGTTCATTCTCCTCCTTCAAGTGAGTTTGGTGGTGGCCAAACAGATCGTTGTCGATCTTGAGGAAACCGCCGCACCATCGGGTAAGATTTTTGAGATATTTTTACAGTTTTTGTCATCAATCTATTGAATGATGACCAGAGATTGCCACGACTCCGGAGCCGGTAATTTTGGGTCCCGAGCCCAAAATCGGAGGCTGGCACGGCATCCGGAGCCGCAGACCTTTTCAAATTTTGCACGAGAGCCGGTAGCCGGAGCCGCAAACTAAGCCTTGGCTCCGGCTCTGAAAGCTAAGAGCCGGAGGCGGCTTCGAAATCTCGCACGTTGCTATCTCTGATGATTACCCTGTAAATGGCGTCACTCCTTCCAGACCCTATGGTTCAACACGACGCCTACGGCCAAGGCCTGACCAATAATCAAAACGTCGCATTCACCGGAACTATCAGCATTGGAACTCCGAGACAAAATTTCCGAGTTCGCTTCGACACTGGCGCTGTGTACACCTGGGTGCCGGTGAGAGGATGTAAAGAGGGCAACAGAAAATGCGCCGGCAATCAATACAGTCCGACTCGATCTTCCACGTCAAGGAATGTCAGCGCAACTTTCCAAGTCAAAATCCAAAATGGAACCGCCCGTGGCTCGTTCTTCGAAGACGTTGTGGAGGTAATCTTGCCTTGATTTAGCTAGTTTTTTAGTTGGGTCCCGCTGACGGCAAGAACAATTTCCGTTTCCCCACTCCAGTGCCTTTCGGCGGAGCCGACCAATTGACCAACGGCGTGGAGGCCGTCGTCGGACTTCCATCCTTCAGCACTTTTGACAGAAAATCCAACCATGAAACGTCCCTTCTTTTCAATGCGTTGAAAGTATTTGAAAAGCCCATTTTTACGTTTTACATGGGAAGTTGTCAGGATGACAAATGCAAGAAGAACGGCAAAATCACCTTCGGCGGTTACGATGAGGAAAACTGCGGACCCGAAGATCAGATTCTTTGGCTTCCATTGTCCGACAACTCTCTTCAATGGACTGTGAAATTCGCCTCAATCAATGTGGGGCCAAGGTCGATTGGGCAGAACATTCCGGTCGTAAGTGACACCGGCTCCCCAACTCTCAGCTTCCCGCCAACCTTGTACAATCAACTGATCAGATGGTTGAAGGTGAAGCCGCAAAAGGACGTAAGTAATAGTCATAGCTAAAAAGCCGAAAAACACAGGGCAAAATCGTCGTCCCATGCGGTACCTATCTGAACATCTCGTTCGCCGACTCCGCCGAATATCCGCCGATTCCTCTTCCGTCAGCCAATCTGATGAAGAAGACCGGAAACGGCAATGATTGTGAAGTGCTGATCAACCAAAAACCCGGAAAAGTGATCTTCGGAGCTCCGTTTATTCGCTCTTACTGTCAAGTCTACGATATGAAGGACCGTCGACTCGGAATCATTCCTCCGGCGGAGCGTTTCGACGACCAAGGACAGGATAACAGAGGACAGGACGGACATGATCATGGCAATGGAGGGAATGATGGACACAACCATGGCGGCAATGGAGGGCATGGTCAACATGACCATGGAAACGGAGGCTACGACAACGGAAATGGAGGTCATAATCACGGACAGGAGGGACACAACCATGGAAATGGAGGTCACAATCAAGATAACGGAGGCTACGACAACGGAAATGGAGGTCATAATCACGGGCAGGGGGGACACAACCATGAAAATGGAGGTCACGATCATGGTAATGGTGGCTATCCACCCTACAGCAACCCCAGCGACCCATACGGTCAAAATCCCTACAGCAACCCCAGCGATCCCTACGGTCAACAACATCAACATGGAGGTCCATCCTACAACTATCGTGGATACATCAACTACTTTTAAACATAAACATTCGATGTTACCCCATCAAAAGTTAAAGCGTGATTTAATTAATCTGTGATTTTGTTAGCAGTGAAAAATAAACTACAGCAGTCATCATTGATGAGTGATATTTTGAAGTTGTTACAGCATCAATGACGTATGTCGTCGAGAAAATATTAGTCTGTCTGGAAAATAATGAGCAAGCTGTCGCTTCGAAAATCGAATCGCCGCCGAAAGATTAAATTGTGTCGCGGCAAAGTCAAATTGTTCTTCACTGCAGCGACACGACTGGCGCTGCGAGGCTCACTACAATGAGGGAGCGGATCCAATGGCAAAAAACGTCTCATTTTGCATCCCGGAAGGGACCAAAATGTCTCCAAACCCTTCCCTTCTCTACTGTTAAAAACCCCGCTTGGAAGAGCCCGCCTTGAAGAAAAGGCCGCGGTCCCTTACGGGATGCAAAATAAGACGTTTTTTGCCATTGGATCAGGTCCCGCACTGTACATATTTTCAAGACGTATTTCTGATTACAACAAAGACTATAACATAGACCGTATATGCCGTTATTTACCGCCATCAGTCCACAAACAATCGCTTTCTACGGGAAGGAAGCCACTGCCGGTGGGTAGCAGAAATGAATAAAAAGTCATAAACAAGTTCAGAAACCTTGTGGTCAAGCGAATAAAATTGCTCGAAATAGATCGTAGTCTAATTGAAGTTTGCTCATCTGCGGATCATTCCTCTGTTACCTGCAAAATAAACGAGAGCCGGAAGGATATAAAGAGCGGCTGAACTGTGAAATAGTACTGCCAACAAACAATGGAGCTTTATTTTGTTGTTGGGTTCCTGATCATGCCCTTGACTGTTGCTGAGGCGTTTCAACTGCCGCTGAAGCGGCTGGCCGATAAAGAGTGTAAGCTAAAAAATTTTGTGAGCTTGTCATGAAGTTTAGGTCTTAACGAGACAACGCTCAAATAAGGAATTTCTTTATTTAATTGCCAATTTAGCAAAGACTGGGCACACCACTCAGCTCAAGTCCAAATACGTTGCCAACCTCGCCATTGGAACGCCTCCTCAACTGGTTCAGGCGGCTTTTAACACCGGCTCGGCTTCGATCTGGGTCCCAGCCAGAAGTTGCGCTAAGAAAAGTACTAATGGCGCCTGCAGTTCTGAGGGGAACTTTTTTGACCCAACCCATTCAAATACCTTCAAGAATACGACCAGATTTTTTGAAACCGGCTATGACGAGTCAAATGCTCGTGGCTACGTCATTAAGGACAAGCTGTCGGTAAGTTAGTAACAACTTTTCGAAACCTGCTATACCTAATCTTCGCAATGAAGTTAGCTCTGTAAATCGCCAATTTCGAAAGGCTGACAAACGACAGAATCGTTTGTCAGTCTGTCTGAAAAATAATGTGCACTCTGTCGCATCGAAAATCGCATCGCCGCCGAGAAAATTAATTGTCGCGGCGAAAATCAAATCGTTTTTCGCTCCAGCGACGCGCGATCGGCGCAGCGATATTGAGCTCATTATGTCACGACTTAGCTATGAGTCGTGGTGTAAGATTGCCCTTAACTTGCCCGCTACTACTAGTATTCACTACCCTCTGATAACCCGGAGACACAAACAAGAGGACTCTGGCAATGAAACTGTGAACTCACGATATTGACTCCAGACGATGTGACCATAGACCAATCAATAATCGACAATAGAGAATATAGTAGACTTTATTGGACACAACCGCATAAGCGGGAAAAGACAAAACACAAAGTAGTAATAATAATTGGCGATTTCTCTTCCTTTTATACCAATTTGTCGGTCATTCCGTGGGAATATGCAAATTCGCACGCGAAGTCGTGACAAATATTATATTTTCCTGACAGGCTGATAACGCAGCTTGAGATTAATTTTAAGAACATTGGTTCCAGATCCTCACTTCCTCTCGAGGCCCCAAACTGTCATTCCGCAACCCCGTCTTCATCGGAGCCGCAACAACTCCCGCGGAGAGTAACGAAGCCGTCTTCGGCCTTCCCTCCCAACAATTCTCCCATCCCTACGAGCACAGTTACAGTACCATTCTTCACCAACAAATGAACAACACAAACGTTAACGCCTCCTATTTCACCCTCTACACCGCCGGTTGCGGCTACGAGGGCTGCGGAAATCGCGCAGTGCTGACGTTCGGCGGTCAAGACCACAAGCATTGCCAAGAGCAGATCAATTTCACCCCACTCATCCCGACGTCGCCGATTTGGGAGTTCCAAGCGGATGGAGTCGGGGTTCGTGGGTTGTTCGCTCCAAAAAAGATTACCACAAGTGTGGATTCGGGAAGTGGATACGTCGGAGTGCCACGCTATATGTTGTCCGTGTTCGTGCGACGCTGGAACGCAACAAAACTGGAGGGAGAGGTGAGGAATATCGTTTTTTCGAGCGAAATTTGCGAGAATTTTGCGAGAAATTTTAAGGGCTGCAGGCCTAAAATTACAAAACCTTACGATGACGCTGTGCTAAGCATATCCTTTTTATTCCATTTTTGTTGCAGGATGCCTACGGCATTCCTTGCAACACGGACCTCGACGTGGTCCTCGGAATCGAGAACGTGCTCTACAAAATCTCTTCCGACAATCTTCTCCGTCCGTTGCCGGAGGCCGGTCAACGCAAATTCGGCGCAAACATGTGTCAAATCGCTATGCGGGCCTCAGAAATGCTGGACGTCATCACGCTGGGAGAGCCGTTCCTTCGCACCTACTGCGTTGTGCACGACATTGGCGGTCGGCGCGTTGGGTTTGCGCATAAAATCGGGGAAGAGGAGCCGGATGAGGAGGAATTTGATCTCTCAACAACTAGACGACATTTCACCAGAAATCGTCATCCGGATCGCGCTAAAACACGCACTCAGACTCCGGGTGATCGTCGCAAAAAGAAGGAGGAAAAGAAGAACGGGAGGAAGCACAGAAAGGATGGGAACAAGGACAGGAAAAGCGAGGAGTCCAGCGAATCTCTCGAGGAGTACTATCGCAAAAAGTTTGAGAGGGAGCAGAGAAGACGGGGATATCCAATCCCAGTTCCCCCGTTCGTCTTCCCTTATCCACCCGTTTTCAAGAACAGCACCGCGGTTTGACGTTGTAAATTTTGCCACGGAATAACATGTTATTTTAAAAAATAAATTTCATGCATCAAGACTTTGCCAGAAAAACTGAGATTTCGATGAAATTCAACAGAAACTAACAGGGGAAGTACTCCATGTGCGACGCCTCGATTTTCTTTAAATTTTGCACACACGTCGGGTATGGACTAAATATCAATTCTTGAAAGTTTTAGCTCGCGCTTTGCGGGCGCCGCCGAGATATCGAACGATTTTTGGGAGAGCACGCTAAACGTGGAGAGCGGTCAGAGAGAAAAGTGCTTTTTGGCCATAACTTTGGCAGTTTCGTGCGGAAAAATTTGATTTTTCTGTAGAAACATTATGCTTTACGGTTGAAATAGGCATGAAACTTTTCGTGCCGAAATTCGGCAAAAAGTCCTAAATTTTCGCCAACTTTCGATCTAAATATCTCGGCTGTTTCTGCAAAGCGCGAGCTAGGATTCTCGCATATATCTTAGAAAAAATTATTCTAAATTGGTGCCAAGTTTCATCAAAATCTGAGCGTCGCACTTGGAGTACTTCCCCTGTAAAATAAAAATTTTCGAAATTTTTTTTTGTCCATGAGGGACCAGACAAAAAGCGGAGAGTCGGTGAGACGAAAAACGGTTTTTGTCGCTAATTAAAAAAAAATTTTTTAATTGTTCCAAGCCTAAATATTTTCAGTTTTTTGACATAAGCTTTAGCTCAAATATCCCCTAAACTTCTTCAAGAATCTCATTTATCTCTCCGAAATTTCTACTCCGAGTCCATTTCGAGACTTTGGCTGTTCACAAACTGACTCTCCCAGTCGTACGGGCTTTCTTCGGTGATCTCGGGACCCAGGGCTTTCTTGCAAACGCCGATCAAAAAGTCGTAATTCGGAGAGGAGTCGTAGGTCAGGGTGGACAAATAATCCGCCATGACTTTGAAATCCTTTGGCAAGTGCCTGAAAACGTTTTTTTTTTGATTTTTCCCATAGAATTGCAAAAAAAAATAAAAAAAATAAAGCAAACAAAATTCAAAATTACGCTTACATAATCATTTCGGCAATCGGAGTCTTCTTCTTCTTCAAGGCCATGTCTTCGTCGTCCTCGATGTGTCGCCAGGGCAACGCGCCTTCGCCAATTTCGATCATAGAGTAGAGCAGAGACCACATATCATCCGCTGGACCCTGTTCTCGACGTTCGTGGACAGTAATACTGACGTATCTAAAATTTAAAAATTTTAGTCATCAAAAACTCTAAAACCGGAAATTTTCGATTTTTGACATCTAAAATTCGCAGAAACTAAAATAAAAACCTCTAAAGGTCCCCAAATTTCGATCTAATAACCTTGCGATTGAAATTCCGGGCTTTTAGAGACCAAAAATAATGTTTTAAAAAGAGTTGTTGGCCAAGTCTGGTCGAGAAAATGGTCGAAAAAAAGTTGGCTTAGATTTGGATAAAACTTGGCACAACTTTAGATTACATCTTTATACAGTGCCGGACCTGATCCGGTGACAAAAAACGTACCATTTTGCATCCTGGAAGTATCAAAAATGCAGCAAAATACCTCCTTCCCCAAGTGAAAAAACTCAGACTTCAAAAGCTTTTTTTTAAACAAATAGCGCGCTTTTGAAGCCTGAGTCTTTTCCCTTGGAGAAGGAGGTATTTCGCTGCATTTTTGATACTTCCAGGATACAAAATGGTACGTTTTTTTGCCTCTGGATCAGACCGCCACTATATAAAGCTGCAATCTAAAGTTGTTCCAAGTTTCATCCAAATTCTAAGCCAACTTTTTCCGACCATTTTATCGACCAGACTTGGCCAACAACTCTTTTTAAAACATTACATTTGGTCTCCAAAGGATCTAAATTTCAATCGCAAGGTAATTAGAACGAAATTTGGGAACCTTAAGAAGTTTTTATTTGAGTTTCTGCGACATTGATATGTCAAAAATCGAAAATTTTCCGGTTTTATACCTTGTGATAACTAAAAATTTTTTTCAAACGATCATTTTTGGTCTCTAAAACTTCTGAATTTCAATCTACGCCCTATAAAATACCTCATTGTTCCTCTAAATCCGGCATATTGCCGTTCTTTTCTTCTCTCGCCATGGTCCGTCAAAAATTTGCGGGTCATCCCGAAATCGACCAAAAAAACGTTCCGTCGGCTCTGCTCGTCGCCGTATCCCACGCACATGTTCGACGGCTTCACATCGCGATGCAAATAGCCGATATGATGGACCGCCTTCAGCGCACTCAGCATCTGACCGCAGACCCGGAGTACGGTCGCCGGAGAGAAGCGGCGTTTCGGTTGGCGGCGACGCAAATCGTTCAAGTTGCGGCCCAAATACTCCATCACAATGTAGAGGAAATTGTCGATGGAGCCACTAGCAATCTGGAAACGGCATGGAGCTGGTGAAAAAGCAAATCTTTTTAGCTTGAAATCATCAAAAATTGAGAAAAAAATTTCAAAAAAAACATTTTTATCGTATAAACTGTCGCCTAATATAATTTTACCTTTTATAAAACATCAGCTAGCGTCGTTGTGGGGTATAAAACAATGTTTTACATCCAGATTTTTTTCGAAAAAATTTCAAAAAATTTTTAAAAAACAATATTTATCGTATAAAACGTCTCCTCAAACTAATCACACATTGAAAATTAGACCTCTCTTATCCAATCTATTACACAACAATTAATCCCAATTGAAAAGCGCTTTTTTAGCTAATCGTCTCAATTATTGATTGAAATTTTTGAACACTTCGTTACAAAAACACGGTCCAACAAATATTATCGCCCCTCACTTTTGAGGACATCGGGTGATTGGGTGAATAGTAAATAAGAAGGAGGGAATAGAACTCTATCTGCACCACCTAAAATAATTTTTGCAGTTTTTACCGTTTGCAAGATATAGCCACCTTAAGTATTCAACAATTGCAATCTTTCCCGTGGTCTAGCCGACTTATAATAACGAAAAATCGCATGAAACTTGGAAGTCAACATTGACACATTCTTATCAAACAGTATGCAAAAAATCGCGGCACATTTACTACTCGGCTGAGGAGTTAAACATCAATCTTTCCCCATAACAAAAATCAGTTCCCGGCTTTTTGGCACTTTTTGGCATTCTGCAAATGGGAAAAATAAATATAAAAAAGTCATGAAGATTTATATATTTTATCAATTATAGTGTCTTTATGTAATAATTTAGACTTTGATGGTTCATACCCATGTCATTTGGCAACTTGCCGACGTCTAAAGGAACTTTTGGCTAGGAAACGGGACTTGGAAGGCGAGAAAATGGTTTTTATAAAAAAAATATTCTTTGGAAATTCTTTTATTTTGCAGAATGCCAAACTCCTTTCCATTTTCGTGGTGAGACAAAAGACTGCAAGCGAGATTAATTGTTGTGTTACATTTCCGATTTTTTTTTGATTTTTTGTTGGAAAATTTCAAGAAATTTTCAAAATACATTTTTTCGTATAACTTGTCCTCTAGAGCAATAATATTGATCAACAAGGTCCATTCCTTCATTACGAAGCCACCTTTTTCAAAACGAACAAAATTTGTTGTTACAAGTCATTCTCGCAGAAAAAACTTTTCACCGTATAAAATGTCGCCAATCCTCAAAAAAGTAAAAAATCTCAATTTTCAACTATAGCCCGGTCTAAAATGAGTTGATAGTGTCTTTCAACATACAGAGGGCCAAGATACTTGCTTTATCCCACCTATATTACACTTCACCTACCAACAACGGAGCATGTTTGGTCCCACGGAGTTGATTCAAAACATGCTGCTCCAGAATCATCCGGCCAGACTCCTTGTCCGAAGGCTCCACTTTCACCGCAACCACTCGGTTGTCATGATGCTAAAATTTTCAAATCCAAAAAATTACAGTAACCTACCGTATCGACGGCCTTGAAAACCTGGCCAAACCCGCCGCCACCCATCAGACGTTCAATTCGAATTCGATTGTTGAGCATGGTGCCATTCTTCAAATGAGGCGGCGCCTTTTTTCCTCTCAATTCCTTCTTCTGCTCTTCCTTTTCCTTCTCTTTTTTCTCTTCCCTTTCTTTCAGTTTCTTGTCGTCTTTCTTTACGTCATCTTCATCAACAGTGGGGTCCTTTTCGTTGCCGTGCTGACCGGGTTCTAAAAACATTATGAAAAAAAAATAAAAAAATAAATAAATAATTCTAGGCACAAATGTCATGGATAATATAAAAATTTCCAGAAAAGCTCATCCAAATTACATGAAAAGCGGTGATGACAAATGGATTAACCGTAAAACTAGCTAAAACGCAAACCAGGACCATTTTCGACCGTCTTGGCCGACTTTCCGCCTCTTTAAACACAATGCCAAATTTGGCGGGAATTTAAATTTCGAATTGTTTTCTCCGACATTTCAGGCAACTCAAGTCAAGAATGAATAGAAAAGACTCCCTTCATTTGGGGCAGATTGGGTATTGGCCAAATACGTATAGCTATTGTTACAAAATTCTTTGGCCAGCCAGCCAATGAGTTGAAAGAAATCACAGCTAATTTTTTCAATGGCTAGCTAAAAACCTGGATTAGCTGGCCAAAGTGTCAGCAGGGCTTTGAAATCTCGAAATAAGCCAGCCAAAAGGTTGGAATAGGTGCAAGAAATAGGCATAACAAGAAATTTTTTCAATCGCTCGCCAAAAACCCTGGATCGGATAGCCAAAGTGTCAGAAGGGTTTTGAAATCTCCCTTCTGGCTGGCTTTTTTCGAGATTTCAAAGCCATTATGACACTTTGGCTAGTCAATCCAAGTTTTTGGCAAGCCATTAAAAAATTTTATGCCTATTTTTTCACACCTATTCCAACCTTCTGGCTAGCTTATTTCGAGATTTCAAAGCCCTTCCGGCACTTTGGCCATTTAGCTTTTGGCTAGCCATTGAAAAATTAGTTGTGATTTCAACTCATTGGCTGGTCAAAGAATTTTGTAACAATAGCTATACATATTGGGCCAATACTCGATCTGCCCCAAATGAAGGGCAGCCCTTTCTATTCATTCTTGGCCTGAGTTGCCTAAATGTAAAAAAAACAGGAAATTTGAAAATTTCCATGCCTCAAATGAAAGTTGCGATAGAACGGGCACGAAATTTTTATTTACCTTTATGCTTTTCCTTGCCAGTCTTCAGCTTTCCGTACTTTCGATTGGTCTTGGTCTCTGCGGGTCCGAGGACGAGTTCCCTGGCCGCCGGACGTTCCAGATCCGAATTGCGGAGCAACTGCAGACTACCCCTCTTGACGCTTTGATTGCTGGTCCGATGTCGGGTTGTACGCCGCTGAAAAAAAAGAAAAAATAAAAAATTTTAGGTAACAAACCGTCAAAAATTGATAGAAAATGTGGGAGATTTAGCTAAACCAAGGGAAAGTTGGATATTAAATTCTGCAAAGAGCATGTGAGAGATGCTAAGAGCAATTTTGGAGCAGATGGAACAAAAAAAAATTAGATTTGATACCTAAAATCTTACTTTACTAGGACTATTATTAGCCATAGTCGTTTCAGCCTCCGAATTGAGAGCTTCGGCTGGTCACAGAGACCGAGATGGAAATGACCGACCGCTTGGAATGGTGGCTCGAAAAACAATTGCGATTTTGTTTCGACTTTCGGAATTTTTTCGTCTTTTGTCTTTTTGCAAGTTTTGGTAAAACTTCGAGGCGAGATTTTCACAGAATCAAAGACAGAGGCGTATTTTGCAAGATAAAGTGGTTTCGGCAAAGCTCCAGTGAGACTTTGCGAAAAATAGGGTGTTTACCTTATTTTAGGTAACAATCGGGAAAGACGTGGTAAATTTATACAATGTTGCCTAAAATGAGAACAAAAAAACAAAGAAAGACAGCTTACCTACTCTACAGTTCGTTAATATTGATTTGAGCCGACCTCGGAGGAATTTACCTTATTTTAGGTAACAATCGGGAAAGATGTGGTAAATTTATACAATGTTGCCTAAAAATGAAAACAAAAAACAATGAAAAACAGCTTACCTACTCCTACAGTTCGTTGATCCTTTATTTCAGCCGACTTTGACGGAATTTACCTTATTTTAAATAACAATCGGGGAAGATGGAGTAAATTATTTAACATTGCCTAAAAATGAAAACAAAAAACAAAGAAAAACAGCTTACCTACTCCAAATGTTGATTGATGTTGATTTGAGTACTCATTGCGTGATCCATCGGCTATTTTTACCACAGATTTTGTCTCTTTTGAGCAAAAAATATTATCCATGAGGTCCATTTTTTGATCACGCTTTTTTATTCAATTTTCTCATGCGAAATTTGCATAAATGGAATTTTAAAAATTGGAATTACAAAAAATTATTCAAATTTCGCTATTTCTTCCCTTGCCTTTCCCTCGTTTCCATTCAGTTTATTCGTTTTTTCGTTGGAATTCAGTCGTGCCCGCGAAAAATGGTGGTCCGTAAACGTCGTCAACCCAAAAAAGAGGTGGATCTTACTTCCGACACCGAGGAGAGCACTGTAACCAGCACCGTCGCCACCGACGAGACCGCCAGCAGTGTGGATGGAACGCAGGAGACGGCCGAAGAAACCGGCGAATCCGACGAATTCGTCGTCAAAGACGCGCTGTATCAACTGGTCTTGGAGGTGTATCGGATTGTTACGACGTATGTTTGAAAAGGGGGAAAATTTGAGGCCGAAGCTCGGGCGCAGGTCGGGAAAATTTTGGAAATTTTTTTTTCGAAAATTTTAAATTTTTATGCAAATTTGGTCTGGAAAAAATTATTTTTATGTTGAAAAAAATAAAAATCGATCCGTAGATAGTAACCGAAAATTTTTATAACAAAAATCGAAAAAAAATAAAAAAATTTTTTTTATTTTTCCGTCTAAAAATTTTGGTGGTTTCTGCAAAGCACAAGCTAAAAAATCGCGTACAGGCTTTAAAAATTCCCAATAGAATCGTTCCTCAAGTTTCAGGAAGTTTAAAATGAAAATTTTAAAATTTTTGGTCCCGACGCGAAAACTTGAAACTTCGAAAAAAGTAAAAATTTCAATCTAAAAACAACAATTTTTTGGCTTAGAAGCAGAAAAACCCCCGATTTTGATCTTTTTTCTGAATTAAAAAAATTCAAATTTTGGGTCCCGACACGAAAACTTGAAACTTGGAAATAAAAATAAAACTTTGCGTCTAAAAACTACAATTTTCGGCCCATAAGCAGAAAAACCGCCCAATTTTGAAGTTTTTTTCTGAATTAAAAAATTCAAATTTTGGGTCCCAACACGAAAACAATAAAATTTTCAAAAAATAAAAAATTTTTGCTAAAAGTAGTTTTTTGGTCATTTTTGGCTACGAAAATGTAAAAGGGACCTCTAAAAATTTTACAAAATTGTATTTTCAGCCCTTCCATTCGTCTGATCATCGCCATCCTGCAATATCTCGCTATGATGACCTACCTTTTCCGCAGCCGAATCGAAGAGAACCCTCTGGGCCAAGTGTACCTGGAACAAGTGGAGTTTATGAAGTCCACGATGATTCAAGTTTTTTGGCCCGGAAATGATTTGGGAATCTATGAGAGGACCCTCGGACCTTATTATAACACCACCAAGAATGAGATTTTCCAATCTTTTGATGATTTAGTGTAAGTTGGGCGCTGAAAATGTATACCAATTTTTTTCAATCTTGACCTAGGAATTCCTTTTTTACACCAAAATTACCACTAAAAATGTTTAAATTAAGTTGTCATTTTGTGACACGTTGCAACGACAGCAGTTTTGGTTTTTTCAGCACTAATATGACCGGCCAATCTCCATGGACTTTTATCCTCGAAAATTGGGCAACCATCCTGCGCGCTGTCGTGTTTGTCTTCGAGGGCTGGTTTTACTCCTTTGCGATTGCGATTGCCAAATTGCCTGCCGCCATTTTCATCACGTTTGGTCTGTATCCACATCGGTTTGCCTCTAGGGTAAGTGAGTTTTGGAGTTTTATAAAAAAGCGTCATAATGACGGATTTTTTGGAATTTGAAAAATTGCTGGTGAAAACTTATGACAGAATGACATTTTTGAGATTTATTGTTTAGCGTGGAATTTTTCAAAATCCATCATGATGACACATTTTTCGGAAATTATGTCATCATGACGGATTTTTTGAAGTTTGAAAAATTGCTGATGAAAACTTGGGTATGACGTTTTTGAGATCTTTCGTTGAGCGTAGAATCTTTCAAAAAAAACAGTCATGATGACACATTTTTTGGAAATTTTGTCATTATGACGCATTTTTTGGAAAAATGTTTTATGACCAGAAAAAAGCTGTGTTAGTGTTTTTAGGCGTTTTGTAGCTAAAAAATAGTCCAAAAATACGTCATCATGGCATGATGACGTGTTTTTTGGAAGGATAAAGAACATGTGTTTTTTTATTTTTCTTTTGTTCAGTAAGATTTTTCAGAGCCTCTCCTTTGATGTGCTCAAGTCTTTGATCATTTTGGCGGCCATGATTACCGTTTCTTTGCCGCTCGGACTCATCGAAGTGGCTTACATTGTACTTGCTTTGATGGGTGTGGATTGGTTTGGATTGGCGGTGACTACGCTCCTTGGCATACATTTGGCTGCCTCTTCTCAGGTTGGTTGAGATTTTGAGTTAATTTTGTCATCATGACATGTTTTTTGGAAATTTTCCGAGAGATGTCATCATGACGATTTTTTTTTGGAAAAGGGGTTAACTAATTTTTTTTGAGCCTTGGCATATATTTTGTGTCGACATTGCCGAAAATTATGTCACTATGACCTATTTTTTCGAATTTTTCAAAAAATTAGTCATGATGACACCTTTTTTTAGAAAATGATTTTTCCACGTTTTAGATGGTCTGGAATCTCCTCGCGACTGCCAGCTCGGAACAAATTGACGTTATCTTCTCGTTCACCAACCCTTTTTTGACCAAAGATTCCGTGGAATACCTAAAGTCAGTGCTCAATTCTGCCAAAGAAAATTCATGGCTTCCGAATCCAGAAAATACGGAATTCATCCCGGAAACAATCAAGAATTCCCTGATCTTCACTGTAATCCTGGTGGTGGGAAGATTCTCGCTGAATCGTCTGACCGCGCGCTACAGAATTGTGAACAGAGTCCACGGCGAAAATGTGGAAAATCACGATGCGCAATGCGAATGTGTGCAGGAGTCTGACGCTTGAGGATTGTAAAATACCCTAATTATTCATTTCTCGATATGTTTTGCTGATTAATGTATAAAGATTTGGATTTTTGGGGGGTTTTTTGATATCTGAAGGTTTAATGTCTAGTGTAATATAAAAAAGTCAAGAAATGGTTGAAAAGGAAGGTTTTTATGTAAAATACTTCTATATAGGTCGTTTTCCAGATGTCGGCAGCCTGAATTTAAGTTAAAAATTCGTTTTTGCTAATTTTCGGAATTTTTGACGAAGTGTCACAAAAATTATTGGAAATTAAAAAGTCCTGAAAATTGCTTTAAATAACCAGCAAGACCATTTTTATATCATTTTCTGACTATTTGTTAAGATTACGGGCAGTTAAAATTTTTGACGAAATGTCAAAAATTTTATTGGAAAATTTTTAAACTTCAAAAAAACTTATTTTTTGATTTTAAATCGCGTTAAAATAAAATTTTTGGCTTTTTTATTGTAAAATCTTATTTTTTAAAAGGTTCTTTAAATTCTGCATAACGGGATTTTTTGAAATCAATTTTTTTTGTTTCGTATTTTACATTTCCTACTTTCCCAATTGCTCTTTCCTCCTCATTGATTATTCTTTCCCAAGCTCCTCATTGTAATCTTTTCATGGTCTAAACTCGAGCCGACTTCCTTTTGTTTTTTCATTACGCCCTTTTTCGAATGATTGCAAAACCTCAAAGGACCGAAAAAACTTTTTCTTAAACTCGCCCGCCAAAAAACGCCCGACTTTTTAAAGTCATGAATTCGTAATGTAAAGAGTGTTCAGGCATCTTGAGTGGGTCGAATTTTGGGGAAGCAAAAAAAATTCGTCCACTTGATTGTGGCCAATTTTTGTGGGCTGCGAAAAAACGACTGGAATTTTATTTGTAATCCAAGACGGAAGTGTAGAGAATAGTATTATATGTAATGGATATTAGTTTCTCGAGGGCGTCGATTTTTTTTTTTTTTTTTGGAAATTTGCGTCTTAACACGAAAGTCTTTTGGTCAGTAAAAAGTTGATGAAACTTGTCGAAAATTTTCGGTGGAGCTGCTGGAAATGCGACGCTCAGATTTTGATCAAACTTGATAAAAATACAGATATTTTTTTCTCTTTGCAAAGACATGCAATACTCCTTGCTCACGCTTTGCAGAAACGACCGAGATTTTTTGGCCGAAAGTTGGGAAAAATGCGTTACTTTTTTTGCAAACTTCAGCAAAAAATAAGGATAGTTTCATGTCTATTTCTACCGGAGAGGATACGATTTCCACAAAACCGCCGAGATCGTTCAATATCTCGGCTGTGACTACAAAGCTCGAGCTAAGACCTCCAGGCATTGATACTAGAACATTTGTAGGACTGTTACAGGGACTAGGCGGGCCAAAAAGTCTTGACATATTCGCACCGTACGCCATTGTGCGAAAAAATCGTCGCACGGAGACAAGTATCTTTCTGTCGGGAAGAATTAGCTCTGTTGGATCGGAGACGAATTGTGCCACGGAAAAATCAAATTGCTTTTTAATTCAGCCGATCGGCGCAGCGACATTGCTAATTATTTTCCCGACAGACGGGTGTACCTGCGGCTTCTCTACATAGTGCAAAAAGAGTTCTCCAAGGGTGCAGTCGCTGCTTACTTGCGCGATGATGCCATAGGTGTTGCTTGCGGTGAGGGTAAGAAGAGGGGGACCCAGGTCGGGATAGAAGAAAAGAATGGTGAGGGAGGACCAACGTCACAAAAGTTTTTACATGACGACCCTTCCCTCCTTCTTTAGAATTTTTGATCAGCTACACCTCTGGCAAGAGCGACCGCACTGTATGCAGGCATCTCCGGACCGGAAATTTTGGCTATCAGTCTGTTGGGAAAATAATGAGCGCAATGTCGCTGCGCTAAGCGCGTTAATGAAGGGAAAATCAATTTGACTTTGCGGCACAATTAATTTTCCCGGCGGCCATGCGATTTTCGCTACGAAGAGCGCTCATTATTTTCCCGACAGACTCATCACCACATTCTTGAGCGCTCTTCTGTGTGCAGATCATTGTCGTCTTTAAAGCTTGACCTTTTACATTTCGTATTTTCCTCTCCATTTCCCATTCCCCTCGGCCCCATTCATCGGAACGTGGTCCGCGAACACCGCAAGAAAATGGCTGAGAATGGGCGCGTGGAATTCACACACACGTCCATGACTACCGACACCCTGCCGAAGGAATAAAATTCGGAGCGCCTTGAGACGTAAAAGCGCGCCGCGAACAATGGACGGCCCTTAATACAGGGGCCCTACTCTCGGATTCCGAGCAACAATCCCTCCGAGTGTCATGACAATGTGCGCGACGTGGCCCCGATCTCGGGTTTGTTGAGTGCGGCTAAAAATAATTCATCATAATTTTTGAGTAAAAATATTACGCAACCCCTGGTTTGCGCGGAGAAACATTGTTTTTGTTCAAGTTTTTGTCGAAACATTAGGGGTTCAAAGTGTGACACTTAGATTTTAATGGGGCTTCGCGTTCATTTTGACGTAGTTTTTTGAAGGGGTTGCTTTTTGCACTTTGCAATTCGAAAATTATGAAAATTGCCGCTTAGGAATCACCCATCATCGCCTTGCGGCGGTCGCGAGATTTATGGTACGATTGTGATTTTCAGAGTGGCGATATTCAGTAAAAAAAAATAATGTGCATTTGTCGCAAAAATGTCTCGCTTCGTCAGAATCGTACCGGAAATCCAGCGGCCGTCGCAAAGCACGTTATTTTCCCGACAGACGCGATATTTAGTTTGTCGGGAAAATAATGTGGACTAAAAAATTTTTTGTCTTGTCGCTGTCGCGCCACAAAACGTGGCCATCGCTAACTGATCATCGGCGATTCCAAATCGCGACGAATCCACATTATTTTCCCGACAATTCTTGCTGTCCGCCTTTTGCGTGCCCTCTTGGCCGCAAAAATCGTCGTTGAATATCGCACAGTGCATTTTGAACTTTTTCCAACGCTCATCGCCAACGCACAGTGCATTTGTCCCTTTTCGCACGGTGCAAAACAGAAAAAAGCCGTTTGCACTGTGCAAATTTTTGAGCAAAACCGCAGCGATGCAGTTGGAAAAAGCTTACGTCGCGGCGATATTGCACAGTGCGAAACGAAAAATGGGGCTTTCCTCTGCACGGTGCGAAACCAGAAGAAGGGTTTTCCATTGCACGGTGCGAAAAACAATAAAAATGTAATTTTCGCTGCACAGTGCGAAACCAAAAGAAGGAAGTTCCGCTGCCCGGTGCAAAAACAAAAAAAAAATGTGAAATGCACTGTGCGAAACCAAAAGTAGAGATTTCCAATGCACAGTGCGAAACAAAAAAAGGAATTTCCGCTGCACGGTGCACAAACAAAAAAAGGTGAAATGCACCGTGCAAAACGGGGGTTTTTTGCACGGTGCGTGCCGCGACAAAGCGTCCATTCACTTTCATAAAGTGCATGGAAATTACTGATATACTCTGTAGTTTGAACACTTCTTCTCCAAGATTTGAGCCGAATTTTTTACGAAACAAAAATTTCTTAGTGCTTGTCAAAGAAATTACCCCTTAATTTTGGTCCTCTTCAAACGCCCAAAAGGCGGAATTCTGAGGAATTCTTGGGTCTTAATCAGTTTCCTTTTTTTACTTCCGGACTTTTCTCTCGTTCCGCCCCAAAAACAACGGCTAACTTTGTGGACAATTGCACTGTAAAATCCAATTATATAAATATTTTCTTTAGAAGGAATAGAGTGCAAAGTCTAGACAGTGCTATATAATTACGCAATCACTGGAAATTCGAAAGTTTTTCGTACTTTGGATTAAAGTCAGGCAAATTCGTGGACCTTTTGTAGGCGCGCACAGTGCGGCTTACCTCTTTTTGCACTGTGTCGGCTTTTTCCAATCCATTTTGCATTTTACATCTTTTTGCACAGTGCGCTCCCTTTCTCACAAGGAAAGTACTTTTATGGGGGCTCCTACTTTTTGACGGGACATATCTCAAAAAATCAGAAAAAATGTGCTGATCAAGGATATATAAATCTTAGCTGCCCATTTTAGGTAATCTTAGCTGCCCATTTTAGATTTAAGGTGTTTAGGGGTGAAAAATCAATCGGAAGTTGACTTAAAGTCCTATATAAACCCCTTTTCGCTTAATTTTTCACAGGTTTACAATTTTTATTTTGGCTTAAAATGATGTTTATTGAGTTTCTAAGACGTAATAAATCTGTCTTGGCACAAAAATTTATTTTTCCGACCTTCATCTTCAAAAAAAGTTGATTCGGCCCAAAAGGGTAATCGAACCCGTGCGGCGTTCCGCCTCTTGATTTCCAGACTACGGCACTAGCCACTCGGCCACGCCGCTCTCTTCCGAAGGAAGAGACCGACTGCGCTTTTTATCGTTTTGAATGCCTGCGCCTTTTGTAGGGAAATTAAGCCAGTTTTTGGGCATTTTCACCCTTAAAAACCTGAAATGGGCAGCTAAGATTTATATATCCTTGATCAGCACATTTTTTCGAATTTTTTGAGATATGTCCCGTCAAAAAGTAGGAGCCCCCATAAAAGTACTTTCCTTGTCAAAACATTTTGCTCTGTGCAGTTTGCCTCATTTTGCACAGTGCATCCCTTCTTCAAATCATTTTGCACTGTGCATGTTGCAAACTTGCTCCTTTTTGTAGCCACGCACGATGCGGTTTACCTCATTTTGCACTGTGCATTTTATCGCTTTTTGCACTGTGCGCTTCCTTCACAATCCATTTTGCACTGTGCAATTTACCTTTTTTTTGCACTGTGCGCCCCTTTTTCAATCCATTTTGCACTGTGCATTTTATCGCTTTTTGCACTGTGCGCCCTCTTCTCAAGCCATTTTGCACAGTGCGGTTTACTTCATCTTGCACTGTGCGCCCCTTTTTCAAACCATTTTGCACCGTGCATTTTATCGCTTTTTGCACTGTGCCTCCCTTCTTCAAACTACTAGTCCGTCCGGAAAGTCGCCGGACTGATTTTGGGTGTTTGCACTG